AACATATGTCTAAATCTTCAGGAAAAGAGGATTACAGTTCTTCCATGGCCTTCAATGAGTCCTGACTTGAATCCTATTGAAAATCTATGGCAAGAATTGAAAGTTTGAATAAATCGTTAGTCAGCAAAAAATCTTCAGGAATTAAAACGTATAACCATTGAAGTATGGAAGAAAATCCCAGAAAAGACTTGTTCAAATCTCATCAAAAACTTTAGAAAACAATTGAGCAAGTTATAAAAATGAGAGGCCATGCTTTAACTATTAATATTGTGAAAATTGTTCAATTTTTTTTTCTATTTTCCATACTGTATGAATAATTTTGTCTTCTTCTATTTTGCATAATTTGCCTGTTAAATTTGTTGTATTGAAATTGTTCTGAAAATTGAGCTTTATATTACCTTTTTTGTGCTTATTAAGATATGAAAATCTTGGCATCATATGGGCATTAGATTCTGAGAAATGGATAAAAATATTAAAAATTGATGGGTGTACAAATAATTCCATTGTTGACTGTATATACACATATATATATATATATATATATGCATACTGGTTCCAATATATATATATATATATATGCATACTGGTTCCAATATATATATATATATATATATATATATATATATATAAACCTAGTGAGCCAGACAAAGCTACCCAGGTTTCACCTAAGTGGATCGTCAGGGAAAGCTGGCTCCCTCAAGATTGATATTAGTATTTATATATATATGTGTATAAATATATATATATATATATATATATGCATGCATATATGTATACATACATATATATATATGCATGCATATATATATATATATATATACATACACACATGTATTGGTAAAGGAACAAAATGGATGAATGACATTTGCCTTGATAATGATCCCCTCAGGAGATGAAATATGTCAGCTTAGAATAGTTTTTCCTCTTGTCACTTTCTCCATATATATATATATATATATATATGATCATAAACACCAACCTTTTCTGCATCAGCTGTTCCAGCAGGCTTTTCACTGAAATTTCGATTTTATTGAACTGTGCATTGAGCACTTTTTAAAAATATAGACATTTCCCAGACAAGACATACTTTGCTTGTTTGTAAAAGCTGTTTTATTGTGTGTATATATATATATATATATATATATATATATATATATATATAGCACATAGTACTTGTCATAATAATAAAACATGCTCAATATAAAATAGTTAAAATGTCTACTGGACAATTTAGATATTTCTTCCTCATAACTCGATGCTGCATAAACTTTCAGGCACAAATTAATAATAATCATTAATTAATAATTTAATATTTGCCTATCGATGTCTATGTAACTTTAAGTTGTATCAAGTGTTGGGGAATGGATACAGGATTCTTTGAATATATATAAATAAACACATATAGGTAAGTAATATTTGATGTGTAACACAGTGTGTAGTATTTATAATGCATTCGTTTTATAAAACTTGTCCAAATTATATAAACAGCTTGTAATAAATAAATCAGTATAATACCTCTGCAATAAATTGACATTATCAACTACATTTGCCTGAAGGGTACGATAATGTAACATGTTGCACTGAAACAGATTAGACACACAGACATTAAACAGGATGTTTTTTGCTTTGTTTGCTGAAGTATAACATATATTAAGGAAATTAGATAGATGACAGACATATTATAATAATTACATTAGATAGATGACAGACATATTATAATAATTATATTTTATAATTACATATAATTATAAATTAGATTAATTTACATGTGGATTGTTCTGATGAGATTTCCTCTTATATAAAACGAATGCATTATAAATGTTACATATTTAGTTACACATCAAGTATTACTTACCTGTAGTTGTTTGCCTCAACTTTATGAATTTATTCACAGTATTAGTTTAGTAGCAAGGTCTCATCTTTTTACAGTTGAAATAGCCAAGTGCAACTACAAGTTCGATGCTAACAGTTTCTTTACTCAAAATTGTGAAACTGCATTTTAACTTCTTGATCTTAAAAATCTAAATGCAATTTTAATTGTTTGTCTATATTTCTGAGATGAGGTATTGTAACTATTACACAATTTACATTGTTTGAACTGTTTTTTCATCTTTGTTGTCATATTCATGATGTTTCAGCCATTGTACACTCCGGCTTGCTTCAGCGTCTCTCTATATTTTTGTGATTAGGTGTTGTAACTACTTAAATTGTTCATGACATTTCGGTCGTATGATCTAGCCTTCTTCAGGATCTGTCTATATTCCTGAGATGAGGTATTGTAACTATTTACATAATTCAAACTGTTGTCCTCACCTTTCTTGTCATAGTCATAATGTTTCAATCATTGTACACTCTAGCCTTCTTCAGAATCTGTCTATATTTCTGTGATGAGATATTGTAATTATTTACACTGTTTACATCGTTTGAAATGTCCTCATCATTATGTTTCAGCCTTTGTACATTCCAGCCTTCTTCATGTGATATACATTGGAATTTTGAACTAAACCCTTTAATACATTGGGGTAGATTTTTCTATAACAACAAAGATGAGAACAATAATCCTAACAATGTAGTTTAAATAATGTTTATTGTAAATAATGTTTGTTATTGTCTTCTGTTTCTTTGACTCTTGTTCATTTATTGTCCTCTCTCCTTAATAATGTTTTTTTTTCTTGTATTCTTTCACACTTAGTAACACCTTTTATCTTAGTGGCTTTATCACCTTGCTTGGAGTGAAACAATTAAAAAGAAATATTTAGAGCATATAAGCTGTGATGAGGAAGAGTGTGAACAAGGCTAGTATACTTGAAACCTCGGTCACAATGACTTGTGACTTTGTGCTTGCACAACTATTGTCAGCTTCTGAACTGTTCTGTCTATGCTCTTTCACTCTGAAGGCTTGGGTCAACCTGTTGGGTGTGGTTTTCAGACACTTGAAATGGTGCTTCCTCAAGTCAATAATCTAAAGTCATCATCTTCCTGAAAAATTAAACATGATAAGATACAAATCCAGGCCTCATGGTTAGAGTGCAAACATTTTAACCACTCAGCCCTTCAGGACAAGAGTGATCATAACTCTCCACAATTTCCTACTTTTGTAGGATTAATCAGTGTTTCTTCCCTTACTATCCCTGTTCTGATATCTATTCACACAAGCTTGTTAGGTACTTGCAGTTTCTCTCTTTCCCTCTTGCCTTCAGTGTGTCAAAGTCTCCAAACCCTCTGTTATGATCCGGTTCCTTGTACCACAGTGATAGTCCAAGGTAGAACCAATAAAGAAGAACTTGAACACGGAGATGGAATAACACAGATATATTATAAACAGGAATATATACAGAGAAGTAGAAAGTGTTAGTACAAACAATCAGATTTAATAGGGAGAACAATGTAGTCTCCACCAGTATCACTATTCCAATGTCTTGTAGCAATTGTCTGTACGTGACTCTGTTTCAGAACTACCTCTGACTCGACTGACTGACTGACTCGCTCTGACGGATTGACAGATTTCTGACTGAACTCCCTGCTTCCTCTTGAGGCGCAGTATTTATTACGTATGGAATAGTCCATTATGTTATTATCGGTAAGGTTCCATAACACCCTCTTTCCTTGTTACATGTCCTAGAATTTCAGCTTTCTCTTTCAAGTGCTGATACTAAGATAGACTGGAAGAGACTAAAACGTGTACAGACCAAGATAAATATAAACTAATTTATGTAGATTGATAGATACATATGTATATAATGGGACAATTTCATTGATAAACCTAAGATATATCAACACCAAGATAAACGTTAATTGACTTTAATAGATAAAGACGTAGCTAGAAAGTGGCTGAGATGTATTGGTAGCCATGGAAAGGTTAGGATGGATTGGTTGGTTGATTTTGTTTAGCAGCATATCAACACCATTATGGGTTATTTAATAATGAAATATAGATATTTTGACCACAATTTTATGGCTTCAACTAAATATATTTTGAACGCAGTTGTATCTTTTCAGTTTCAGATATTTTTTACATAATTTTATATTTTCAAGGTAAATGTATATTTTTTATTTATATTATTTAGACTGTCATCCTCATCTTTATTGCCATGTTCACAATGTTCTGACAGTTGTACATTCCAGACCTCTTCAGGTGACTAAAATTTCAAAATGAACCCTTTATTTCATCTACCAGGGTAGATTGTTCTAGTTCCATATGCTATCCATCGAGTCTAAGTTATTGGACGAAATAAAAGGTTCAGTTTGAAATTCCAATCACCTGAAGAGGGCTGGAATGTACAATGGCCAAACATAGCAATAAAGATGAGGAGAACAGTCTGAAGAATGTAAATAATGTAAATAAATTATGATACATCACCTCAGAAATATTGAGAGATCCTGAAGAAGGCTGAAGCGTATAATGGTCGAAACATTGTGAATATGACAATAAAGTTGAGGAGAACATTCTGAACAATGTAAATAATGTAATTAATTACATCATCTCAGAAATATAGACAAATGTATATTTTATAGATATATAGTTTGTACATGATATGCTATAGGTGTTATGTTTCAGTATAAATCTATTTTTAAGGTTGATGGTTTCAGTATTTTCAAATAGTTTTCTCGTGTTGGTTTCTTTGTAGTGTTTATGTTTTACAGGTGGTGGCCTTATTAACAGGGGATCTTATTGCTCTACAGAAGTGCATTTGGTATATTCTACAGCCCCAGCCAACAGGGTAGCAGTATCTAAGGAGGGGCAGATAGAGATTAATAGCAATAGGATGCAAGGGGTGTTATTGAGAGTGAAAGAAACAGAACAATAAAAACAAGATTCAAGGAGACAGAAGATGATGATGACTGGAAAGCAAGAAACAAGAGAGTTTCCACAGGTGAGAAGTGTGAGTGAAGAAACTATTAACATAGAACTTACGGTTACAAATAGCAACTTCAAAAGCAAAATTAATAGACTTTGCTGCAAATCTGTTACTGTGCTTAAAATCTCATCAGAACAAGCTTACAGTCACATCATGTTGTAAACACCAGTTCCCATATGGTCACTGAAGTTAAGCAATATTGAGCCTTGTCAGTATCTAGATGGGTAACCGCTTGGGAATACCAAGTGCTGTAAACTTGGATGTGCAAGTGGTGTAATGGATAATGGCTCAGAATTGTTAATTGGAGAGCTGAGTTCCAATTTCTGTTGAGGGTGGTATATTCACTTATGCGCTAATATTTTTGAGAAAGGTAGATATCACCCCTTCTCTCCCCATCTATGGGTTAATTCATAAAACTTGTATCACTAAACCACTATTATCTTAAAATTAATTTACCATATGGTAATAGAATTTTACATTACTCAAATATGGAAATTATCTATATTAAAAGAAATGCGTCATCCATAAACAAAATTCACTTCACTTTGGTGCCTATACACTCAAGTGTTTATAATCTTAGCTGCAAGTCAACCATATCACATCACACTATATTACCTTAGTAACAGACTGTAATTTCAAATCTTAACTGATTAATTCATAAAATATTTTCTAACAGGCTTAAACAAAAATTTGTAATTTATATCTTTCTAAAATTCTTTTCTGATGATGACCAACAGAATGGTCGAAAGTACTAGGACTCTGTCTTCCTCCCAATGCAACTATAAATGATTTATTCATGAATTTTCATCTAATTTAAAGGGTTTGGTTAAAAACCAAAAAAAGTTAATTAAGAAATATAATAATTTTTCATTGTTTGTTGCAATTCAATGATAATTGGTTGAAAGAAAAAAACTTGCTGCCTAAATGTACATTATCTTGTATACAACTTATGTAAATTTGGGAGTAAGTGCATCCTTTATGTAACAGTATTCAGTTGATGACATTGAAACAATTTGTAGTGATTTGTATAAATTAACATTTGCTTTAATTTCTGAAAATTGATGATCCTATTTGTCCAGTGATTTTTAATGTATAATATTGATTTGATATATCATTTTATATTATATTAATTACAAAATTAACAAAATGAATTTGTCCACTTAGGAATTCTTATTCCTCCCCCCACTGAGATAATATTTTATTTGCCTGCTGATGCATGATATCAATATAAACACAGACAGACAGACAGAGAGATGTAAACAAGACTAGAGAGACAGATAGATGTAAATGAAACTAGAGAGACAGATGTAAATGATAATAGAGAGACATACAGATGTAAACAAGACTAGAGAGAGACAGATGTAAAAGTGAGTACAGAGAGAGAGAGAGTCACATGGAAACAAGATGAGAGAGAGAGAGAGTGAGATAAACAGATGTAAACAGGACTAGAAAGAAAGAGACAGATGTAAACAAGACTAGAGAGAGACAGATGTAAAAGAGAGTACAGAGAGAGAGAGAGAGAGAGAGTCAGATGGAAACAAGATGAGAGACAGACAGACAGAGAGATAGACAGATATAAACAGGACTAGAAAGAAAGAGACAGATGTAAACGAGACTAGACGGAGAGAGACGCAGACAGATGTAAATGGGACTAAAGAGACAGACAAAATAAATGTAAACAAGACTAGAGTGAGAGAAACAGATGTAAATGAGACTAGCCAGAAACACATGTAAACAAGATTAGAAAGACAGACAGACAGATGTAAACAAGACTAGAGACACAGACAGATGTCAATGAGACTAGAGAGACAGATGTAAACAGGACTACAGTGACAAACAGAAGTAAACAAGATTAGAGAGACAGACAGACAGACAGACAGATGTAAATGAGACTAGAAAGACAAATGTAGATAAAGTCTACAGACTGATGCAAGCAGTATTAGATTGACAGAAAATATAAACAGAAAGAGATAGATGTAAATGCATATAGACAGATGTAAATGGGACTAGATGTAAAGAGGGATAGGCAGACAGTTGTAAATGGGAGTAGATAAATTGATAAAGATGAGACCAGATAGACATGTGTAACTGAAGATAGATGTATATGGGGCTAGAAAGTTATAAACAGAATTAGATAAATGTAGTTAAACAGACATAGATAAATGAGATAGATAGATAGATAGATAGATAGATAGATGGACATCTGTAAACAAGGCTAGACAGATACATATAAACAAGATTAGATAGACAGCCAGATGTAAATGGAGCTAGGTAGGTAGATAGATGTAAATGAGACTAGATATATAGACAGATGTAAACAAGATGAGATAGATGGCCAGATGTAAATGGGGCTAGGTAGATAGATGTAAAGAAAACTAGATATATAGACAGATGTAAACTAGATGAGATAGATAGCCAGATGTAAATGGGGCTAAGTAGATAGATATAAACAAAACTAGATATCTAGACAGATGTAAACAAGATTAGATAGATGGCCAGATGTAAATGGGGCTAGGTAGGTAGATGTAAATGAGACTAGATATATAGACATATGTAAACAAGATGAGATAGATGGCCAGATGTAAAGAAAACTAGATATCTAGACAGATGTAAACAAGATTAGATAGATGGCCAGATGTAAATGGGGCTAGGTAAGTAGATGTAAATGAGACTAGATATATAGACAGATGGCCAGATGTAAATGGGGCTAGATATATAGACAGATGTAAACAAGATTAGATAGATGGCCAGATGTAAATGGGGCTAGATATATAGACAGATGTAAACAAGATTAGATAGATGGCCAGATGTAAATGGGGCTAGGTAGGTAGATGAAAATGAGTGTAGATATGTAGACAGATGTAAACAAGATTAGACAGATGGCCAGATGTAAATGGGGCTAGGTAGATAGATGTAAAGAAAACTAGATATATAGACAGATGTAAACAAGATTAGATAGATGGCCAGATGTAAATGGGGCTAGGTAGGTAGATGAAAATGAGAGTAGATATATAGACAGATGTAAACAAGATTAGATACACCATAGTAGCTTAATAGACAGTTTTAATTAGGGTTAGATAGATATAACTGAAACTAAATAGACAAATGTAATTAAAACTAAATAGATAGAGAAATATAAACAGAACAAGATAACTGTAAATGGAAATAGATAAATGTAAACCCACAGAAATAAACATAGACAGATGTAAATCATCTAAGATCAATAATGAAGTGAAAAAAAAGCGGCTTATATTAAAAAGACCAAACGAATCTTTGAAAAGAAATTTTCAAAACCTGTTTGTTTGTTTTTTTTTCTTTCTCTTTCAACACAAAGAAATCACTTTTTTATTTATAGATTTCCTTGTTATATAAAATGACTTTTCTTCCCCATTTGTCTGTGAACTAAAAGCAAAGTAAACACTGAAGCATGCAATGGAGACCTACTTCTTAAAATTGGGGTCAGGGATTTACATCACCAAATAAAATAATACTTTGAAGCTGATTGGACTGGGTGATTTTAAAATCATAAAAAAACGAATGCCTGAAGAGGTTAACATCAGGCACACCTTAATTTCTGGTAACATTATTTGTTGAAAGTAGATATGATACAATCAAATTAACGTTAATTTATAAAATGAACACAAATAACATTTTTAACCTCACTTTATGGTGGGAGAGAGAAAGACAAGGTGTAGGAGGATTAATATTCTATTATTGCAGCTAACTTTCACTCATCTACTGCCCAACTCCCTGCACCCCCACCTAGAGTGGTAAAAGAGGGGTGGTGAAAGGGAGAGTGTGGATTGTGCAGCCTAAAAGATAGAATCCATGAGAAAAATTTGAACACCTCTTTTTAAAACTCTACTCAGATACTTACTACAAATGTGTAGAAAGATTGTGTTTACATCTAAAAAACAAACTTTACTATGTTATATTTTAAGGGAATTGATACACTAAGCATCATCTTAGTAACTATTTATATATATATATATATATATATATATATATATATATATATATATATATATATATATAATGGTTCCTGCCAGTAGAAGACTAGGTTTTCAGTCACTCTTTGAGAATAACTCAGTGTGTGCATGATTCAGCCACTGGTCTGTACTTACTTGACAACCCAGACTTTTGCTAACAAATATATGAAAAATTCTTTCACAGTTTTGCACAGAGCCCTGCCTACTCATCATTTACATCTTGTAGCAGTTCACATTAAATTACATCAATCAGCTCTGTGCAAACAGAAGAAGCATTTCATTCACTTGAAGACAATGGAGATTTTATTGAAAAAATTAACTCTTTAGTATTTCAAGATATTTTTGTGTAATTTTGGTAAATATACCTGTTAAAATGAGATGTTGGTGTCATTTTCATTTTCGTGCCATTTAGACGACAATTTACCCATCGCACCCTGTATATCTGTCAAAATGAGATGTCAGTGTTATTTTCATTTTTGCATCATTTATACGACAATTTATCCATCGCACCCTGTATATATAAAAGTGGACATTGAAATCAGCACCAAGCCACTTAGTGATTTTCCAAGCGTAGCTTAGTTGTGGCACAAGGCCGAAATTAGGGGGCACCCAGTGAGGATCGAACTCACTACTCAGTCGTACTTGTTCTAGCGAGCCAAGCTTGCTAACCATTACACCGCCTCGAGGTGCCCAAGCTACTTAGTGTTGACTTCAATGTCCACTTTCATATTTACATAACCCATAAATACAGCATACCTTATAAATTATATTTTTATGATATATACCGGGTGATTCAAAAGCAACTCCCCATTTTAAAATACTTAGAATTTATTTAGTAACTATAATTTTTATAAGAAATGGCTATGAGAAGAAAGCGTTTAGCATGAGGTTTTATTTAAAATTCAGTAGGTGCACCAGATTTTGCTACCAGCTTCTAGAGCCGCCCAGGAATTACGTCAACTGATTTCACCAGGAACTCTTGTGGTATGGAAGACATAACTTCTTGTATTCACCTTTCAAGTTCTTCCAAAGTCTTGGTTTGGTAGAGCAGACTTGTTTCTTTAACCAACCCCAAAGAAAAAAGTCACAAAGTGTTATGTCAGGATTCCTTGATGGCCACTCATTTATAAAATAGGCAGTTACTTTTCAATCACCCTGTATATATGATTGTGTATTTGGACAGCGTTCCCTCTACATGTTTTGTTGGACAAAACTGACGATGTAATTTGGTTTAGATTTATGTTTTTCTTGTATACATAAAAGTGTCTTATGTTCTGGATTTAATGAATATAAAGATTGTTCAATGTCTGTTGCTCAGAAATAAGTAGGTGGCTCTTAATATATCTACACACACAAGTCAATAAGTAACAACATGTTTCATTCACAAATGAACATCTTCAGACAAATAACAGTTTTATTGATTTTCCTATATACAAAAAGGAAAAAAAAGACAACAAATGCTGATTACAGTGTTAATGATAGAGGATGATAATAAATCCACCTCTTCTCTCCCCAGCTATGGGTTGATTGTATCCATAAAGCTATTATTATCTCAAAAATTTCTTACAATCTAAAAATATTTTCTAGCTTTAAATAACCTTCAATGGGTTGATAAGCCATAACAACAAACAAATCAATCAAACAGGATTAATTTTACAGAGACAAAAAGCATTTAAATTTAGATCTCTGATATATCTCAAGGTTAAATTATTTCATTCAATTTTTATCATTTTTTCATCATTCACTTTCTATATACTATGCCCAATCAGGACATTGTTGATCATGGCTCTCCACAATTTCCTGTCCTTTGTAGATTCTGTCATTCATTTACACAGGCTCATTAGGCAAAATATGCACCATTTTCTTCTACTCTTCTTGCCTTCAATATATCCTGTGAGTATCAAATTTTCCAAGCCTTCTTTCCTCATTATGTGCCCTAGAAATTTCAACTATCTCTTCCTGTATCTGTCTATATTTCTGAGATGTGGTATTATGTATACTATTTACATTATTCCAACCACCTGAAGAAGGCCAGAGTATACAACAGCTGAAACGTTGTAATAAATATGACAACAAAGATGAGGACAATAGTCTGAATAATGTAAATAGTATCTCTTCCTGATGTTAAGTATAAGTGTCTTTATTGTTTCCATTATCTCTGAAATGTCATTGTTGCCCTCATGTTCAGTCCATGGTATTCTCATCATCCTTCTGTAGAACAAAATTTCTATTGCTTCAAGTTTCTTTATCTGTGAAGATTGTCCATCAATCACTGCGATATTGGCGGAATGACACTATGTAACATTTCAGCTCTTTCCTTTGTTTCTAATGAAATTTTCTTGATTCTTAATACTTTGTTTAGCTTTTGGAAGGCACCTTTATTCCACTGCAACTTTGGATTTCAAACTTTTGCACTTTCCATCCTCTTCTGAAATATATCCCAGATTTTTAAATTTTTGTATTTGCTTGATTTTGGCATCTTCAATTTGTAATTTAAATGTTGGACAATTTCTTTTGCTGACAACCATGCATCCTATCTTCTTGCATTTGATACTTAGTCCTTTCTTCTTGCTTTCCTTCACTACTTTGCATAGGAGTTCTTGTAGTTTGCATTCTGTGTCTGCTACCGACACTGTGTCATTTGCCTATCTTATGTTTTTAAGATTGTAACCACTAATGAATCCTTGTAGGACTTCTAATTTTCTCAGTATTGCCTTACTGTCCAGATTGAATAAGTCTGGTGAGAAAGCACATCCTTGTCTCACACCCCTTTCTCATGGACATAAATTAATAGTAGAGGATTTTCAAATTAATGCATTTTAATAAATTTTTGCTTGAATAAATTTCTTTATCTTGAAATTCAGACCAGATTCTTTCATTTAAAATTTTTGTCAAATTTATTATAGATGTCCATTCATAGATAGATATGAATAGACTTAGATGGATAGATAGATATGGGTAAACAGATAGATAGATAGATAGATAGATAGATATGAATAGACTTAGATAGATATGGATAGATAGATAGATATGAATAGACTTAGATAGATATGGATAGATAGATAGATATGAATAGACTTAGATAGATAGATATGAATAGACTTAGATAGATATGGATAGATAGATAGATATCAATAGACTTAGATATGGATAGATAGATATGAATAGACAGATAGATATGGATAGATAGATATGAATAGACAGATAGATATGGATAGATAGATAGATATGATAGACTTATGAATATGGATAGATAGATAGATAGATAGATGATAGATGAATATCAATAGATTGATATGATAGATAGATAGATATCAATAGACTTAGATATGGATAGATAGATAGATATCAATAGACTTAGATATGGATAGATAGATAGATAGATATCAATAGACTTAGATATGGATAGATAGATAGATATCAATAGACTTAGATATGGATAGATAGATGGACAGATAGATAGATATGAATAGACTTGGACAGATGGCAAGATAGATATGAATAGACAGATAGATATGGATAGATAGATAGATATCAATAGACTTAGATAGATATGGATAGATAGATGGACAGATAGATAGATATCAATAGACTTGGACAGATGGCAAGATAGATATGAATAGACAGATAGATATGGATAGATAGATAGATATCAATAGATATGGATAGATAGATGGACAGATAGATAGATATGAATAGACTTGGACAGATGGCAAGATAGATATGAATAGACTCAGATGGATAGATAGATATGAACAGACTTAGATGGATAGATAGATAGATAAATATGAATAGACAGATATGAATAGACTCGGATGGATAGATAGATAAATATGAATAGACTTAGACATGGGCAGACCAAGATAGTAAGGATGGATGAATAGATGTAACAGACTCACAGGGATACATATATGAATAGATCAAGAAAGATATAGATAGATCTATGAACAGAGTAATATTAACAAATGAAGATGGAGGGAGATATGAAGGGACTGATATTTTTAGAAATTGGCAAAGTATAGACAAATACCTTTCAAGAGTAATAAATCCTTTCCAGATTGGAAACTTAAAGATATAGTTTCTTAAATACGAACAGGAAGTGAGAGATTTAGATAGACAGATAGACAAGTGACATTGTCTGATCTTATCTTTGTGTTCTAGTTTCTTTTTGCTTTTTTATCTTTTTGTATTTGTTTGGTTATTGTTGTATTTGACGTATGAGGGTCAAGCAGTCAGTTCCTAGGAACCAACAGCCTAGACACCAACACGTATGATTTGATTACAGTGGTGAAGGCTTTGTGCAGAACCAACCACGCTTTTTGAAGGGCTGAATACAGAGACCTGGTGCACTACGTGCCATAAGATCCTCAAATGATCCTTCGCAGGTTTTGAATTCTCCTAGACAGTTTGCCATCCAAGGCTATAGAACCCAGTCTGTCCTGCTATTTACCCATACCTGAAGGGAGAAGAGGATTAATACCTTTCCCAAGGGTATTAGTACGTAAGTAAATGTAATGGATTCAAGTGGAATTTGAACTCGGCTCTCTGATTCCTCAATTCGAGCCACTATCCACTACTTCATCATGCCTCCTTCTAAGACATACTAAGTACCTATCTATGGCTGGATGTGTTTTTCAGAATATTATGCTAAACTATTATTAATTCATTCATTTTCTATGGCTTATCAATTCTTTGTAGCTTATTTAAAACCAAAAAAATTTTTAGATTGTCAGAATTTTTTTGGAGATAATAATTATTTAGTGATACAAGTTTTACTAATTAACCCATAGCTGGGGGTGAAAGAGGTGCATTTATGCATTTCCCAATGGTATTTGCACATAAGTGAATATAACGAACGCAATGATTGGGGCTGGATTTCAATGAAGAGAGGCTCTAGACTATTCCACTTGTGAGGCCCTTCCAAATCGCCCATTCTCATGAGTAGAGGAAAATGAAAGAGTGCTAAATTACACAATTTGAGTAAAGCCGAGGATGATGAGCAATTTGAGTCTACAATGAATTATGACAACATGCGTAAGAAAGGCCTATGACAATGTCAAAAATGTTAGCTTCTTGGTTGGAGGAATATCTACTTAGATTTTGGAGGCCCTAGGCAAGGTTGATAAGACATAAAAACAAATCAATCAATTGAATACAGGGTTAATTTTACAGAGACAAAAAGCATTTAAATTTAGATCCCTGATATATCTCAAGGTTAAATTATCTCATTCAATTTTTTATCATTTTTTCATCATTCTCTTTCTATATACTATGCCCATTCAGGACATTGTTGATCATGGCTCTCCACAATTTCCTGTCCTTTGTAGATTCTGTCATTCATTTACACAAGCTCATTAGGCAAAATATGCACCATTTTCTTCTACTCTTCTTGCCTTCAATATATCCTGTGAGTATCAAATTTTCCAAGCCTTCTTTCCTCATTATGTTCCCTAGAAATTTCAACTATCTCTTCCTGTATCTGTCTATATTTCTGAGATGTGGTATTATGTATACTATTTACATTATTCCAACCACCTGAAGAAGGCCAGAGTATACAACAGCTGAAACGTTGTAATAAATATGACAACAAAGATGAGGACAATAGTCTGAATAATGTAAATAGTATCTCTTCCTGATGTTAAGTATAAGTGTCTTTATTGTTTCCATTATCTCTGAAATGTCATTGTTGCCCTCATGTTCAGTCCATGGTATTCTCATCATCCTTCAGTAGAACAAAATTTCTATTGCTTCAAGTTTCTTTATCTGTGAAGATTATCCATCAATCACTGCCATATGGGTGGAATGACACTATATAACATTTCAGCTCTTTCCTTTGTTTCTAATTAAATTTTCTTGATTCTTGATAATAAGAATTAAGAATCTAAGCCTATAGGTAAATTTAGCAATGCCAACAAGAATTGGAACTTGGTTCTCTGATTAACAATTCCAAGCCATTATCCATTGCACCACCTGCACATACAAACCTACAGCACCTGATATTCCCAAATGGACACCCATCTACATAATGACTAAGCTTGCTATTGCTTAACTTTGGTGATCGTACGGGAATTGGTGTTTCAACACTATATACCCATAAGCCACATGAACTCTGATAGATGTGATTAGACCGATAATAGATAAATCTGAAGAGATTGTAAATGGCTTTGAAATAGGTGGCTAAAGGATGTAATCGCTCAGCTTGAGAAATTTTGAAGAAATTGAAGTCAGCATTTTTTAAAAGGAATAAATTTCAGCATGTGTAGGAATTATATATATATATTTTATAATAATAATGATAATCATACAAATAAAAAAAGTAAAAAATTACTAGAAATTAACTAGAATTTTTTGAAACACTAATGCGTGTTAAAATCCTCATAATATTTAGTATTATTGAAGTTAATGTGAACATTTTTTGTTGATATTTACAAACTCTACATCTCATTCAATTTCACAAACCAATCGATAAAATTTGAATAAGCTGATTTGTTTGGAAAAATACTTTGACAAACCCCTTTTTACAGTTTAATAATTTCTTTTATTTAATTTTATAGGACTTTATGATAAACAATATTTTTTAATAAATTTTTTTTTTTTTGTTTTTACTGGCAAAGAATAAATTCTTATGATTTCTTACTTTTGAGCATGCAACATACAACTGACTATGCCTAAATATTTTTTTCTCGAGCCAAATTCCCATCTTTTGAAGTGTTTGGCCTTGTGACTTGTTTATGGTTGTCGCAAATGCAGGCCGAACTGAAAAGTGGATTCTTGTAACCAGGATTTCTTAAAGAAAAGATATGCAAGAAACAATATTGCATTTTTATTAAATAAGTATTTGTTATTTTAATCATTCAATTTTTTTTTTTAAATAGTGGGAGTATTTTGTATGTTAAATTCATTTGTTGAATAAGACAACTTTTAATTTTTCCAAAAAAAATAATGAAAATTTATTTTACTAAGCTTAGTAAAACCAACTGTATTTTGTACCCACCTACCTGTTTGCAATTATCCCCAAAATTTGGGTTTGATCAGTCAATGTATGACTATTTTAAAGGGTGATATGGAGGGATGAACTATTATAAGTCACAGAATTTTATATACCGATGTATTTTCCTGGCTAATAGAACTTCTGTCAAAAAGCACTCAATTGTAAACTAGATCTATACTATATTTAATAAATCAAGAAAAGTTTAATTGACTTAATAGTCTGATCAGCTGGATAAGGTCAAATTGGCAAAATGACCAACAGTCTGTTGTTAAATGGGGCAAGGAATGGCTTGTGAATTTTAATGCCTCTAAAATCAAACTGCTTTCTTTGAATCATCTGAGAGAACCATTTTTATTTTCCATCTGCATAGCTGACTCATTGCTTCTTCTTGGACTAATGTTTTTTGCTGACATGAATTGGAATGATTATATTGAATCCATTGTAAGTCTGCTGCTAAGAAAGTTGGCTCACTGTGTCATGCTATAAAATCTTTCTTGCTAGAATCTATCTTACATATTTATAAATCTACCATTCATTTATGCTTTAAATTTTACTAGCATTACTGGTGCTGTGATCTTGCTATATATCTAGAGATTCTTGATAAAATCTAAAGAATCTGCAATATTATTGGTCCTGACCTGGCATCTCACCTTCAGTCACTGAAGCTTCCCTTTGCCCTATCTATGAATACTTTCATGATAATTGTTCTGATTAACTTTGCTCTATGGCACCTAGACTTTATAAATTTAAGTGCAGTACTAGATTGGCAGTAAGATCTCATCATTTTATAGTTGAATTAGCTGGATGTATGTGTAAGTTTCTGTTCTCACATTTCTCATTTGTCTCTTCTGACTTTTTGCTTTCAAGCCAATTTAAATGAAAGGTCAGTTTGAATAGCTATTTTTCTAGATCATTTCACAAGGCTCTACACTTGGCCCTTCTTTATCATCAACAATTTTCCCAATGTCATCTGTGCCCAAATCACTATTTATATAAATGACACAAATATTTAATCTTGTCTTAATATTAAGTACAATATGTTCGATAAAGTAAAACTGGCAGCTGATCTCAAAAATGATCTACAATCAGTTGTTAACTGGGGCTAGTAAATTTTAATGCCTCTAAAACAAAACTGCTATTTGTTGATTTCTATAGAACATTTTTGGCTTTCCATTAGCATGGCTGATGCTAACCTCCAGAAGAGTAACTTATTGTGCCTTCTTGGTATCAGATTTATCATTTTATTGAACCAATTGCTAGGTCTACTAAGAAATTTAATTCACTGTGACATGCCAGATAATTTTTCTCACCAGAATCCATCTCACATATTCATAAATCTACATTCATCTGTACATTGAATATTGCTACCATATCTTGTCTAATATTCCCACTATATATCTTGAGATTCTTGATAAAATCCAAAGAAGATTCTGTAACACTATTTACATTATTCGAACTATTGTCCTTATTTTTGTTGCCATATTTATTACAATGTTTTGGCCGTTGTATGCTCCAGCCTTCTTCAGGTAGTTGAAATGTCAAACTGAACCTTTCATTTCGCTCACTGGGGTAGACTGTTCTAGTTCCACGTGTCATGTTTAATGGATGTCAGTTATCAGTTATCTCCTGTTAATTCCCCTCTGAAAGTTCTCAACTGCCTTAGCCAGGTATTGAACTCACACTCTTTGGGTCCTGTCACTGAATCTAACACCTTTATCTACTGTGCCATGTGTCCTTAGCACGTGGAACTAGAACAGTTTACCCCAGTGAGCAAAAAGGGTTTCATTTGACATTCCAACCACCTGAAGGAGGCTGAAGTGTACAATGGTCGAAACACTGTAATAAATATGGTGACAATAGTCTGAATAATGTAAATAATGTACATAATACCTCTTCTCAGAAATATAGACAGATACTGAAGATTCTGCAATGTTATCAGTCCTTACCTGGCATCTCAACTTCAGCCATATTGTCACCTATGACATGGAGTCTTTTGTTCTTTTCTATGAATATTTTTATGGTAACTGCTCTAAAAGGTGTCCTCTTTGGTAACTCAACCACCTAAATTGAAGCACATGACTAGATTGGCAATTAGGTCTCATCATTTTACTCTTGAATTAGCTGAATATAACTATAAGTTCTATTCTAGTACTTTCTTTTCTTACACTTTATGTCTCTGGAAGTGTATTCTGCTTTCTTGCTACCCTGCTACTTACAATCTTAAAAATGTTAAATGCAATGTCAATCACAATCTTTCTAAATCCTTTTGTTTTAATGTTCTTTCTCCTCATTCCCTTTGACTTTCAGTAACCCCTTGATACCACCACTTCTCTCTCTTTTTCATTCTCTCTCAGTCTCTCTTTCTGTTTCTCACTTTCACACACACTCTCTCTGTCTTTTCTTTCATTCTCTGTCTCTTTCTCTCTTTCACTTACTTTCTGATGTACCACCTTTCTCTTTCTCTCTCTCTCTCTTTCTCATATGCATTCAAATATGTTTTATTGAATTTGTTAGATGAAGTTTTCTCTATTGAATATTTTAATCAATTTTCCAAGGTGTCATATGAGTTAGTCAACACCTGGATTACACTTCTCCAAAACTCACACATTTATTTCTCGTTCATAACAATTTTTAACATTATTTAAACATTAACCACAAAATATTTCTTGTTTAAAATTTTCTATATTTATAGAAGAGTTTGCAATATTGGATATAGAGCATTTATAAATGTAGCTATAGGTTAATTAGTATCTATCTATCTATCTATCTATCTATCTATCTATTCTATATATATATATATATATAATACTAAGATGACAGATTTTTATTTTGTGAACACCAAGATGATCATCTCATTTGAACAAAAACTTGGTCCACGAAATAAAAATTATAAATGAAATGGATAATTAAAGTCTCCATCTTCTTATTATCATTATAATGCTCTGTAGTCTACATTGAGCTCTCCCTGGATTTATATCCTCCTTGGAATTATCCCTTCCAGTCACAAATTGTTAAAACATATCATTTTACATATATATATATACACACACCTAAGTATAGGATTAGTGTATGCAGATTAAATTCCAATAACAAAAAAATACTATTCTTAAAAGAGTGCTCAATACAGGGTAGGGCAAATATAATTTATTCAAAAATTATAACATAAATATTTTATAAATTCACTACAAAAATAGCCATTTTGCTTCAACACTTCTGGTGATGGTGTTTCAACACTTCAAGTGATGGTGTTGAATATAGAATAAAGATTTTTAAAAAGGTTCAAATCAACCAAACATCTCTCAATAGGGAAAACGCTGTTACATAAACTGCAATGAACAATCAAAATACAAGTATATGAGAATTCAAAAAACTTGACAATGAGCCTTGTTTATAATAATTAATTCTTTAATGTTAGGGTTAGACTAAAATAGAAATCATTCTAACTAATTAATATTAAATTTTACTATAAAACTGAAAATTAAAAATGACCAATTTTAAATTTGATCTGTATTAAGTTTAAAATATTATAAAATTATTTAAACTGAGGAAAAAATACATATTCTGATATTTATTTTGTTTTAATTGAAATGCGATGCAAAAACATGAACAAAACAGGAAATAGATGTCCACGACCCTTAAAAAAAACAAAAAACAAACAACATATACAATGAAAGGCAATCATGCACACATACTTTAATAAAGACACACATATATACACACCAACAAATATTCAAATTTGAAGGTGTTAGTCAACGAATTCAAACAAACTATTAAAATATAACTTCCATGGTCAAAGATATATAGATAAAAATGGTTCAGTAGATAAAATTTAATAAGGTTAGAATAGAAAAACAAATATTCGTCTATGAACACCGTAAAGAAAAAAAAGAAACTAAAATATATAGAAATGGATAAAAAAAATAAATATATACGCATACACACATAGAAATAAATATATCAACATATGCAGTAACATAAAAAAATATAAAATAAATAAATATATGTATATATATATACCTACATATATACCAACAATATTGTCCAAATGACTGTAAAGGATATAAAGTTCATACAAGATTAAAATGTAAGAAACCACAACTGTTGATTATTCCACAAGCAATTTTAAAACCACTATCAAACAAAAGGAGATTATAGTTGGTAGAGATAATTCATTCAAAAACACTAAGATATATACAGATATATATATATATATATATACACACACACACACACACACACACACACACACACACACACATACATATGCTTACACACCCATACATATACAAGTGGATAAATATATAAACAAGCACATATATAACACCTATCAATACAAACACATATATATACACAAACATTTAACTACAAGTATATTCATATATACCCACAAACGCACACACATGCACACACACACATATATATATATATATATACACACACACATACATACATGTACATTTATAAAAATTCACATACACATATATACATCTATCTATAAAAATATACACAGATGTGCAGACACAAACAACATAATAAACATATACCTACATATATGTACATAGGAGTATTAGATAATATAAGTAATAACATACTAAACTTACAGTAAAATTGCCTTATCAAAAATATTACCCCTATAGTAAGTTAAATTTTGAGCTATACTTACAGTTAACAGTGAGTTTATTCTTTTGATTTAAGAGATGGGTGTTGTCTTTAAATCTAATGATTTCAAATTTTTCATTAAGACATAAATAACAAGAGGTATATAGAGAATTACATGTTCAAGCTCTCTTAATTTCCATTTAAGAGTAGGTGTCTTGTTTTTCTCCTTTAAAATCCAAAAATACTTGGACAATGAAGTCTTGTCTTATTATGATTACTACTGATGAAAAATTGCACATGTCCCCGCCAATGTTCTTTGAATGTATTCATAGTACTTCCAATGTAAAATTTTTTAATATTGGGGTTTTCTAGTGTAGAAATTGTACTCAGATAAACTAGAAAACTAGTTAAACAATTATTCTGTAATGGGCAATTATTAGGATTCCTACAATTGCACAAGATATTATTAGTGTCATTATACATAGTTTTACTCATTGCAACCTGGTGAGTAGTCAAGTTTTTTGTGTCCTTATATTTATTGAAGATTCTGTTATTATGTTTCTCAATTATTTTTTCCAAGATCTCAGCACAACTATAGCTTAATTTAAGGGTATTATAATTGAATATTTTACTGAGTGGATTAGTATTGGGATTGGGGAAATGTTTTTTGATAAGGTTTAGAAATTTATATCCTAGTTTGGTTCTAACCATTGGGTTGAAAGGGGGAGTAAACCATATGATCTTCTTGGATCTTCTTTTCTTATTAGCTATGGGTTAATTAGTAGAACTTGTATCAGCAAATCATTGTTATCACCAAAACATTTTTTATGATCTAAAGATATTTTCTGGCTTTAAATAACCTGCAAAATAAGACATAAAAAGCAACCACCTCAGTCTTTTGAACAGGAGTAGAGATTTATCCCTTTTTTCTGGTTTAGGATTGGGTTTCTGCTTCCTTTTAATGTTTTCTCATTCTCTTTCTCTTCCAGTAGATCCTTGTGTCTTAGTGACATTATCACCTTGCTTGGGGTGAATTGATTAAAAATAAGTAAAAAAAAAAAAATCAATAATCTTCCTGACAAATCTTAAAAACATGACTTTCCAGAATCTGGGAATGACTTCTAACTCACCCAGTCTATGCGTTCACGTTAAAACAAATGTTCTCAGACTGTGGTGGAGGAGAGTTAGAACTCTGTATAATTATAACTCCCTCCCCCCCATAACATTTATATATACAAAAATACCCATAAAAATGAGAAACAGTAAGACGTGGAAACAACAAAACGAGTACTATTTATTATCTGATTGTTATGTGGTGTTGAAGAAACGAGAGACGGTAATACTGAGTAAAATTGTGAGTTTGGGGTCAAATGTCGATCAAATATAGATCGGAATCTGACAGAATGATAAGACAAAGAATAAGCAAAGTGTATAAATCATTTCTTGTATATATATATATATAGATGCGTGTAATGAGTGTCCAGATAATTTAGTTGGAAAAAGTGTCTGGGGTTTTCTTACCTCAAATTTTTGTTGAGTGCTAAAAGATAAATATTACTATTAAAGCCTGAAAAAGAAAAGGGGATGAATTTTTTGTTGACCCGTCTGTGTGAACTGTTTGCCCCATAGTGAGAATGTCACATGTTTGTGTAAATGAAAAATGTGGGGTCGATTCTCATTGGTTTAGAATAAGTGAATTAATGATAATTATAATTGTTATAATTATTTTATTATAATTATTTTTGACACTATAATTAAATTTTATTTGTTTATTTTTTATGGAAACAACAATGGTTTACCACTGATTTGGTTTTATCGATGAGTTAAGCAGGCAGTTTAATTTCTGCCTTACTCCTACAGATCCATCTCTTTTTTAATCATTTCACCCAAAGCCACTAGTATGCAAAAGGTTACTTAGTGTTAGAGAATAGAAGAAAAACAACTATTAAGGAGAGCAGACAATAAATGAATTAAGTCATAAGATAATTCATATTGCATTTAAACTTTTAAAGATCAATGTTGACTGGAAAGCATGGGGCCAGAAGAGTGTTCCACAAGCAAGAAGTGTGAGAAAAGGAACTGTTAGTATAGAACTTATTGTTACATACAGCCATTTTAACTGTAAAATGATAAGGTATTACCACCAATCTAGTACTGTGCTTAAATTCATAATCTAAGTACTATAGTGGAAGGTTTGACCAAAAAATTACCATGAAATTATTTATAGAAAAGACACAGAGAAGCTACATTACAGCAGTGGGAATGGAACTGAAGCCGAGATGTCAGGTCAGGAACAGTAACATATCAGATTCTTCTTTGGATTTTATCAAGAATCTCTAAATATATAGCAGAAGCACCAGACCTGATGTAACCAAAGCAAGAGTGAATGGTAGACTTATAAATATGTAAGATAGATTTTGGTTTGGAAAATTGTCTTGTATGACATAATGAACTAACTTTCTTAGCTGCAGACGAAGCAATTGATTCAATCTACTCTTTCTACTTCATGTCAGCTGAAAACGTTAGTCCAACAATGTGCAATGAGTAACTCTCTTGGAAGTTAGCATCAGCCATGCTCATGGAAAGTAAAAAGGTTTCTCTGAGATGATTAAAAGAGAGCTGTTAAAATTAACAGGCCACTCCTTTCTCTATTTAACAACAGATTGTAGGTCATTTTTGAGATCAGCTGCGAATTTGACCTTATGGAACCAATCAAACTTACAATTAAGACAAAAGTAAATAGTTGTGTCATCTGCATAGATACTGAGTTGAGATCTGATAAGATCAAGATCATTTAAAAAAAAATTAGACACAACATTGGTCAAGGGATAAAGCCCTGTGAGAGACAGCTACATTTATGCAAAAAGATCTAGAAGAGTGGCCATTCAAAACAACTTTCATTTCACAATTTGATAAGAAAGACTGAATCAGTTCAAAAATGAATGCAGAAATACCATATCCTTTTAAATTGTGAAGAAGAGTATGCCAAACTCTATCAAATGCTTTTGAGATATCAAAAGCAATAGCCCAAGCTTCACCATTCTTATCTCAAGCTTGATAGACTCTGTCATCAATTATTGTTAATACATCAGCAGTTGACCTACAGAAGTGAAAACCATATTGCAAGACCCTGCAATGTGAGATGCTTAACCTATTCAGAGTTAATTAGAGCATCTAGTGATTTGCCAAAAAGTGGCAGAAGGTTAATAATTAGAAGGATCAGATGGTTCACCTGAGTTCTTAAAGACTGGAATAACTGAGGATTTCCAATGAGCAAGAAAGCAAGAAGCAGCAATGCATTTATTATAGAGTTTAGAGAGAATAGGAGCCAGTTCAGGAGGACATTTCTTAAGGACTATTGCAAGGATACTGTCAAGTTCACATGATTTTTGAGGATCCAGTTTAGAGAGGATAGCAGAAACCATGGATGGAATTATATGCATATCACTCAACAGAGTTCTAAGTGAAAAGTCAGGCAAAGAGGCTCCAGATGAGTTAAGAGTTGAATTAAATGAGAATTTATGAGTAAAATCTTCTACTTTATCAGCAGAAGATGTTAAAATCTCAAATTGAGTCAAGAGAGGAGAAATAGAAGAGTTACTTTTAATTAAGACATTATTACAGAGTTGCCAGAAGTCATGTGCACCAAACTTGTTAGAGGCTACACGGTGCCTCATTCTACCAGAAAACAAAGACTTAGCATCTTTGAGAATATGTTTACAATTATTATGAGCAGACAAAAAGAGGGACCTGTTGTGATTGGAGCAATCATGCTGGTACAGTCGGAAAAAGTGATTCTTGTGTGCTATGGCAGCAGAACAGGCCAGTGCGAACCAAGGAGAAGATTTTGATTTTCACCTGATATTTGTGAGAAGGTATAAAAGCATCAACACTGGCTTGATCCCAAGAAGTAACCTCTGTGGCATAATTCTTGATTGTAAGGTTAAGAATATCAATCCAATGGGCGTTTTGAATAAAGTCACAAAATGAATCTCAATCAGTTTGCTGGTAACAGAAAGAGGTCTTGTGAATAGGAGGTTCCTTTCTAATAGATGACTCAAAAGAAATATCAATAGATACTCTGATGAGATCCAAATTGCCAAGAGCATCCTGAGTAAGACAATAAACTATGTCCAGCAGCAAGGCGGTTTTGAGGAGCATGGAACCACCTCTTAATTGTTGGTGTTTCCAGGTCAACCCTGACCCGGGGTTGGTAGCATTTGTTAGGGCCCCAACTATGGACAAATAGTTAACCCCCAAATTGGAGTCAAAACACTATGAAAGTTTAAAAATAGGTTTTAATATCAGCAATACATTTTTGTAAAAATATTAGCAGCAATACGTTTTTGAAAAAATATTACCAGCAATAAAAATCTTGTTGGCATTAAATAACCCATTGAGATTGATATGCTATAAAAACAAACCAAGTTGAATTGCCAAGAGGAAAGAGTTGCGATGCACTACAAGAGTTAGGAGAAGAAGTCAAGAACAAATCAAGCAGAGAAGAATGTTGAACAGATTTATTCTGGAAACAAGTAGGGAAATCCAATATTTGACTAAAAGACTGAGCAAGGGTAAAATTAAATGTCTGAATACTGACAACATCAGTAATATTAGAATGCTTTGACATGATGAGCATTAAAATATTAAATCATTAAAATCATGAAACACAAAAATCTCCCAAGCAGTATCTTTCTATTACACTAGGTGGTTTTCAGGTACATCATAAAAATTGAAGCTGGTTGTGTTAAGTGGAATACCTTCATTTAAGCCCTTTTTATTTTCCTTCGTATTATTCCCTTGCTGAAATGACATCAAATCCAGGCATTTACAAATTTCTATTTGCTTTTTTTTCTTTCTTTCAGCTTATCGAGTGTTTGGGAAGCGCCTCCTAAGGACCAGCCAGTTTGTGGTCTCTAGTCGAATATGGCTGCACACAATTCCCACACGAAACTGCGATGTCCTCATGACATTTCCACCAAATGCAGAAGATGCCAAACTTATGTGGATCCTGAAACAATTACGAGAGAAAGCCCCTCAGATTATAGTCCACGTGAGGCACCATGCACGGACAGAGGTTTTTGGATTTTACATGACGACCAGTTACGAGAAGTAAGTCAATAAGTTTTAGTTCCAACGGTTTGTGCTAACTTTGTCTTATCTTCAGTTGAGACAGGCAATCTAACTTGTGCATTTGACTAGTTGCATCTGCAAAAAATCTATGCTGTCAGCAATGTATACATTAATTACTGACCTTTGACAATCCTTTTCTTCCTCATTTTTCAAGAGGCAACATAGGCGAACACCTGGATGTCACAAACTCATGTCTGCGCACGCAGCCTGGTACATGTTGGGCGACTCTAACCTCAAGCCTCTGGATAGTTCGCAGACTCATGCCTCTGCTATCGGTGAACATCTATTAAATTCTGGTGTTTGTAGGACTGAGTATTCTCCCCATTTCTTTTCGGTATTGCACAGGGCTAGGAACAGATTGCACCTCGACATTTTGGAGTCTGTTATTATCAACATATGTAGGCCGGCCCTCTGCGTACAACGGGAGATGAAGTTTAAGTTGGCCTTATTTGGGGGAACGGTTACATGATTTGAGGTAAAATAATTTTTTTTTTTTTTCCCTCCCTTACCATCTTGTTTTATTACGGTATTAATAAAAAAATTTTCTTGTTAGTACTCCGTTTCAGATTACCGACGATTGTGTTTGAAAATGTGTCGGTCGAAAGGCGCCTTACGTTTTATGTTTTAAACATGGATATTGTTGTATCTTATGTTTAATATGATCCCATATTTTTATTCCTCAAATGTCTGATTAGATTTGGCTGTACTAGAAATCTGTTTATATATATATATATATATATATATATATATATATATATATATATATATATATGAGTGCCAACTCAAATATGAGTATCTACTAATAATAATGTTTAAAGTGATAAAAATCTGTCAAATTAATAAAATTCCATTCAAATAAATTCTCTTTGTTTACATTTGGATATGAAACTGTGTTCAGATATTAAAAAGTATGAGAGATCCTTGACAAGAGAACTTTCATTTTAAAGCATAAATTTGGCCAAAGCAATATAAGTGCACGGGACTAAATGGTGGCTCTCTCTACCCTGAGAGATGCAGGTTCAATTCTTGCCAAAGAACACAAGTTTTTCTTTTATAAGATTTCTTGAAATTTCAGCATGGTAGGTGAAAATAAATAAATATACTGTTTAGTATATAAACTGACTGTCTACTCAAATGCAAGTATCAACTAATCATAATGTTTAAAGTAATATATATATATATATATATAATCTCTCATTGCTAGCATGACTCAGAGTTTTATGCACAGCTCAATCTTCAGGTGCTGGTTAGAGACTGACCATTGCATAAATTTAATTTTAATAAAAATAATTAGTTAACACAATTTTGGTGCAGTCCATTATATGGGTATTATGGTTTTTTATTTTTAAAATATATATTGTATTTAAAATAGATGGGATTTTGATTTTATATTTAAAATAAATATGATTAATATGTTATTCATATTTAAAATGAACAAGGATTAATGGTATTGATTAAAAAAATATTAAAATAGATCCTAAAAACTACATGAAGAATAAAATAATTTTATTTAAAGTTTGCATTATTATTTTATATTAAACATAAAGGGAGATTATTGTTTTTTTCTTATTTTGTTAAAAATTTTTGTATAAAAAATAAATGACCTAGAAACCATAAAAATAACATAAAAATGGGAAAGGTCATAATTTAAATTAAAAATTAATCCGGATAAACATATCTGAACAGATATTTATTTTTATGCCTCCATGTGTATTTTTATATATATGTTTATTTATATATATATACTTAATAGCTCTGTTATATTACATTGAGCACTATTTTATCAACACCAGCATTCAGTTTGAGATCACTTATATTCATATATATATATATATATATATATATATATATATATATATATATATATAGTATTATGAATCTAAGATATAATTGTTACGTTCATTATCTTAATCAATTTGGACTAAAAGTGTCGGTTGACGTAATCTAATGAATTGACCCAAAGAGTTGTGAGTTCAATACCTGGCCGCAGCAGAAGAGGAACAAAAACTTGAAGAGTTGAGTTACTCAGGAGAAATAACTGATACTGAGGTATCTGGAAGAGGCATGGCATGTGGAACTAGAACAATCTACCCCAGTGGACAAAATAAAGAGTTCTGTTCGAAATTCCAACATGTATCACCTGAAGAAGACTGGAGTGTACAACAGCCAAAATGTCATGAATATGACAATAAAGATGAGGAGAACAGTCCACACAATGTAAATGACTGCAATACATCATCTCAGAAATATAGACAAAGTAGATTTTAATCAAAAAAATTGTAAAAAGTAAAATGAAGCACCAATTTGAACATAATATTCAATGAGTTCTTTGTTCCTAACTCTGGTTTTGTCAAAATAATGGCTCCTTCTTGCTGACTGTAATCCGCAGGTTTGTCAACGGATTCAAGCCATTGTTAGATTTTGTCTTGCTTTACAAAAGAAAACTGAATCCAGAAATTTATTGGCTATAACAAAATGGCAGTTTTATTAATAAATTCAATGAATATTAAAGGTGGCATCAAGCTATCTGCAACAAATTGTTCTTAGCCCTCTTGATGTACACGGGCAGCTGGCTTCCTCAAGAACACAAACCATTGTTACACTCCATGATATTTCATCTTTACCCACTGGCGATGCTGGCAGGGCTGGTGCAAGTGTCTCATGACATTCTACTAGATCTCAATTTTTATGACGTAGTAATATTCATAGAAAATACAAATTTTTTGTAACTTAATAATTATGTAAAATAATGAATCATATGCAATATAAGTGAAAAATTCAGCTAGAAAAATTTCAAATAAATACAATGTAAATCTAAATACAAATTAGAGAACCTGTCAAAATAGATCATTCCATCTTAAATAAATCAACAATGTTTTGCTGCAATTTTTTACATCAACTTGAGATCTTTCTTGTTAAAAGCTTGAATAATTTTAATACATTCAACATTATGGATAAAAGAATTTTATGTTGTGTTTTTAGCCATATTTAGATAAAAATAGAGTTTTCATTTGGGCAAAGAATGCAAAGGAAGAGAAAAAGATGTCTTCCAAAAGATAAGCAAAGTGCTTAAAAACAGAAAAAATTCATTAGTTATCCAGCCATTCTGTTCTTTGTTTCTATGTGATATACAGGGCCATTGCAAGGGTTTCATGTCCTCCCCACAAATCTATGATAAACTCCCTCCGCCCACTCTAATATATCTCAATTTTTATAAGGTAGTAATATTAATATAAAATACAAATTTTATTGTAACTTAATAATTATCTACAATAATTGATCATATTCAATATAGGTGAACAATTCAATTAGAAAAATTTCAAATAAATAAAATGTATCTAAATACAAATTAGAGAGACCTGTTAGAATAAACAATTCCATTTGAAATAAATCAACTTTTGTAGCAATTTTTAACATTGATATTATAGATAAAAAAAAGTGAATTTTATATATAGAGTTTTTTTTTTTTAGAGTTAACATGAGCAAAACAAATTCACAGATTTGGATGAAGAAAAAATGACCCCAGAATGACATCAACATCTGAACGTTTTTTCCTCCTTTTATAGTCAGTTGTGTTTAGTTTAATTTGTAATGTATATGTTATAGACAAGTGTATGGTTACAAGAAAGAAATACGACAACAGCAGAAATAGATTTACATGGTTTATTTCAACAGGAACGTGTGGGTTTGGGACAGCTACCTTGTGGTAAAGTTCATAAGCCGGCTTTCGGATCTAGGTCGATCTCTCATGTTGACGGTGGTTGATGCTCCCCTGCTGTCAGCAGCTGAACATGTCTCTATCGTGTCTGAACAGGTCTCTATCATGGGCACCTGTGGACTGACTGTTGAACTTCCGTGTGACCCCTTTTATAGCTTTTTTTTATGGCTTAACAGGCTCGAAAAATGAAGCGAGTATAATTAGGAGGGAAGCATTTTTATTGGACGAAAAATAGAACACTTTAAATATTATTTTATTTTTCGACCGGAACACGTGTGTCGGGAACATTTGTAAATGAAGATAATGGTCATTTTGTGACGGGGTTTTGTCCCGTTCACATCCGGTTCTCGCTCTTGAGTATTTGCCTGTAAATCAGCTGAGATATGTCTTATTTTATTTTATAACATATATAAATGTAGGTAGAAAAAAAGCAAATGTTGATAAATTAGCAAGTGTCACAAAGCACTGCTCAGGGCCCCCCAACTAGGCTTGGGTTCTCCTGGCCAGGAGATTTGGCCATAGTACGTACCGACCCTGGGTGCTGGCAACTTATGATGAGAAAATGGTACCTCATGATTATTATTGATATTATTACAATAAGTAGCACAAAAAATGTTTTGGGTTTATAATTTCATTCAAGAGTTGATATTAAAAAATATATTATGAATCTAAAATATAATTCTTAATATATACATTATCTGATAATCTTGTATATATAATTTGGTAGAAAACATAATATTAAGAAATATATATAAAAATAGTAGGAATAGTGTTAAAAGTTTTTTGGGTTTTTTTCAATTGAATTCCAGCCACATTCAACACATGAAGGCTTGGAATAAACTTCTACTTGTATTCAAAACAGCACAAAAATAAAATCCATTTTCAACATGAAGAGAAATTAACAACAAGTAAAAGACACTCCTTGAAAATGGCTAATGAAGTGGCCAAAAGTGCTTGGGTCAATGGACATCATGGAAAATTTTTGCACTCTCTTACTCCTTCCAAAATTAATTAAATCTTCCTTGTCTGCTATATTTAATGAAAGATGTTTAAAAGAAAGGTTGATGCCTAAATTTGCATATATATATTTCCAAGTAAGATGAGAACGAATAGAGTACAATTCCAACTTTTGTAACATTTAGTTTAAAAGGGGGCTCAATACAAAGTATTCTTCATTTTAGGATATTATATCAAAAACATGTCAAAATTGCTACACAACTGCAGTTGTGTTTCGATGTGCATATAACACATCTCCTCAGGTGATTGTAAATTACTGGTAAGTGAACGATTTATTCAGATTTAAAAGAAATGCAACCGCTTTTTCTGAAAAAAAGAAAAGGGGGAGTTATAAGGTTTGTGGCCTTTGCTTAGATCAACCAAAGGAAAAGCCACAAACTTTATAACTGCCCCCTTTCTTTTACAATCACCTGATGAGGTGCATTGTATGCGCATTGAAACACGACTGAAATTGTGTAGCGATTTTGACATGTTTTTGATGTAAAATAAAGTATTGCACTCCATTCATTCTCATTTTACAATGTATATATATACATACATGTACATATATATATATATATATATATATATTGTACTTTTTAATATTTTTATTTATACTTTAGATATATTCCTAAAGAAGTACTAAATTTTACTTTTAAATTCAAAATATTTTTATTTCTTCAAATGTTATTTTTAGTAGATACCCATATTTGAGTAGATGCTCTGCTTTTTTTCTTTTTCTTTTTTTTAAGTCATGTTTATTTTGTCAAAGCACACCAGATCAGTGGTTTCTCCTACAAAGGAGTATGTAGGTTCAAATCCTGCTGGAAGAAATATTTTCTTTAAGTTTTCTCAAGTACACAGGCCGGTAGACAAGATAAAAACTGTTTAAAAAAAAACACAGAGCCTCTACAGAAATACAAGTATACACGAAAATTAATGTTTGAAATAATAACTTGTATATATAAATGACGATTCTAAAATATTATTGTTATTATTATATACAATAATTAGAAAAAAAGGCTTCAAGTGAATGAAGCCTGTAGGTCTTAAAGAAGATTTTCCTTCCTTATATCTCAAAGATTGGTGCTATACAATCTCAAAGAACTTTACTAAATAACAAAAAACACACCACTTGAAAACTTCCAACAGCAGCAATAACTAAAATGAGTAGGTTATGTAACTAGAAGAGAAAATTATGGCATAGTTATAGTGTTGAGGCATGGGAGAGTAATGGATTGCAATTTAGATAGAGGAATCGGAGAGCCAAGTTTGAATTTCACTCAAGTGCATTACATTCACTTACATGTCAATACTATTGGGAAAGGTATGAATCCAAGTCTTCTCCCCCCCAGCTATGGGTAAAATAGTAGGACAGACTGGGTTCTATAGCCTTGGGTGTCAACTGGCTGCTCATACCATTTACAAAGTATTGGTATGGCTGGCTTGTCATACCATTTACAAAGCAATGATACAGCTGGCTGCTCATACCATTTTCCCCGAGGAAAACGCTGAATTCAAAATTGTATGCAGCCCTGGCAAAACATATACTATGCAGCTAAGAAAAGGATCATTTGCATTGATTTGATGATCCTTTTAATGGTGTTTGACTTTACACACTACCTTAAGCAAAAGTATAAGGAAACATGCATCAATACTAGAAAGAGTGATAACAGTGAACTTGAGAAATCTGTTTTCCAGAAAAACTGTTTTAAGAAAAAGATTTTGTAAATTTCAACTAGCAGTAACGCTATTTGGTCAATGAATGGCAAATGTTTCGTATATGGAAAAAAAACTAATCTAACCATTTCCCAATAATCTCATATACAGAAATCTGACAAAAATAAACAGAAACCTTTCTTTTCAGCTCAAGAGACTTTATTGAACAATCTAAAGAATTTAACATTTGATTGATTTGCCATTAGTAAATTTTTCCTCTTTCAAACTCTTTGAATTTATGAAAACATAACAATCTCTATTCATTTCTTTAAAGTCAAAGCTTCTTGCTTAATGGTCATGAATTCTAAAATGAACTGAGGGTTGTAATAAAGAACAATAAAAATAAAATGAAATAGAAAAAGTTTACTGATATCACTCACCAGCTGTCACATGACCCTCATGAAGCCATCTTACCCAAAGGGAGATAATCACGTTTGTATCCCTGCAGCATAATAATAATAATAATAATAATAATATGGTATATATTTTTGGTCAGAAAGTATTAATGACTTCAGCTCCAAAAAGCCTGGAATCAGAAACAGATACTACACTCTGATCCTTAGTAGAAAAGAATAACAGTTGAGCATACAAACAAGCAGAAGAACAGCAAGGACAGATACTACACTCTGATCCTTAGTAGATACGAGATAAAAAAAGCATAACATTTTTACATACAAACAGGTAGAATAATTGTATAGATTTCTTTAAGAAAGATTTTTGTATCATTATTCTTAACAATTTTTTTTTTTTTTCTTCAGCTTATTGAAGGGAGCTGAGAACCTTGGAATACGAAAGCCATTGAAGAAGGAATATGGAGGAGGCATGAAGGAGTTCTCATTTGATGATCAAGATTTTTTCGAAGGAATACAAAATGAACACAATTTTTTGACAAGCCAAGAACGACAAAGCATTGTCTATAGCATGATCAACAACTTACGGTCAACTGGAAACGAACATTTTGGTGAAATTGAGTTTCGAGAGGGACAGGCAATTAGTAAGAAAGAGAATTTTCTAGCAATATTATTGCTTTTAAAATTGTTATTATTATTATTATTATTATTATTATCATCATTCGATTTCTGCTATGGACACACTACCTACCAAGTCTGCGGAAAGACCTAAGGCAGGTCGTGGTGTGTTGTTATAAACATTTCATGTTAATTTTTTTTTTTTTTTTTTTTTTTTCTCTCGATGAATTGAACCTTAGTGTTGACTTAATAAGACAATTTTCTGTATGTCTCTTAAGCTGGGGTTTCAGGATTCTTTCAATGTGTTGTTTTGTTCCATTTTTTATAATTCCAAGTGCACCTATTACCACTGGTATTATTCTTGTTTTTTCAATTTCCACATTTTTTTCTATTTCAATTTCCAGGTCTTTGTATTTTGATAGTTTTTCAAATTCCTTGGTTGCTATGTTACAATCCGCTGGACAAGCCATAAATTAGTAGGCAAGTTTTTTCTTTCTGGTTTTTGACAATAATGTCCGGCCTATTTGCTTCAATTTTTCTGTCTGTGTGGATGGTATAATCCCATAGAATGGTGACATCTTCTATTTCTGTAACCGCCGCTGGCCGATGTTCATACCAGTGTTTGCTTACACATTTTCCAAAGTGTTTGCACATTGTCCAGTGTAAGTATTGCCCCACTCTATCGTGACGATTTTTATATTCATTTGGGGCAAGTATAGAACATCCTGAGATTAGATGGTCTATTGTTTCTTGGTATTTGTCACAGAACCTGCATTTTGGATCCACATTATTATGTATGATATTTGCCTGAAAATTCCTAAAAAGACTCTGGTCTTGCGCTGCAAGAATAAAGCCTTCAGTTTCAGACTTTAATCCAGATGCTCGTAACCATCGATGAGTATTAACTTTATCAACATTGGGTTTATTTGCACGTTCTGGATATTGGCCATGCAGAGGTTTGTCTTGCCAATCTGTTCAAGGGCTTTATCCTTGGCTTTCTTTTCATACTTTTTTTGTCAATAGTTGGTTCTTTTCTTCTGTTTTGATTTTCTACAGAATCTACTAAATGTAAATGTTGTTTTTTGTATTTAATTCTTTTATTATTGAATATTTTTTCTTTCTGTTTTCATGTTGTTTCACTAATTTTATCATCCAGTCATTTGTTGTTTCCATGTGTTAGTATAATAGTTGTTGTCTTGTATGACAATTCTAGCTGAATAAGACCTCTTCCACCTTCTTTACGGGTATGTATATAATGATGCATCTTATATTTTTTTCTTGTTTTTTTTAGAATCCATTTGTCTGATGTCATTTAGAGTCCAGTTCAAGATGTTGAAACTATATTGGACCACTGGGATGGCATTAATGGCCATAATTCTGTTCTGAGAATTCAATTCAGTTTTTAATACCAGTCGTATTCATAGTACTTTTTACGCACTATTTCTTTCATTTTCTTATGGTGAATTCCTTCACTCTCATTTACACCTAGGTACTTATAAGCTTCTCCTTGTTCTAAATCTTTTATTGTTACAGCAGGTCTAAACTAATAGAGGAAGTTTGTTGAGCGATCCTTATTAAAACTGTAGCTTTAGCACATTTATCCAAATTGAATTTCATTCCGATGTCTTCACTGAAGCATTTTACAGTTTGCAGAAGACCTTCCAGCTCATTGTCATTCCTAGCATACAATTTTAAGTCATCCATGTAAAATAGATGGTTTATTTTCTTTTTGAGCTATTTTGTAACCGCATTCTGTCTTGTTAAGTTGGCTGGTTAATGCTATAAGTGATATGCAAAATAATAAAGGAGACAAAGAGTCATTGAAATATTCCTCTATTGATGTTTATTTCAACAGACTTATAGGTTCCATTTTTATGATTGAGGTAAAGTGTAAAAGCTTCGAATACATTGTTTGATGAAAAAAATGATAAACGGTGATACCTTGTACATACTTAAAGACTTTAAGATCCAGGAATGTGGTACACTATCGAATGCTTTAAATAATCTATCCAGGCAATACTAAGATTTTTTTTTTTCACGGAAGCAGTTTTCCAGGATCATCCTATTAATAAGTAATTGGTCTTTACATCCGTAGCAGCCTCTTGCACCTTTTTGTTCAAGTGGTTATTCATTTCTTTTTGTTAGAAGAAATATTTTTTTGTTAAAATAGATGTTAACAGTTTGTATGTTGTTGGAAGACATGTAATTGGTCTATAGTTTTTCGGAATTTTGTGTCACTATTTTTCCGTAGAAGAAAATCCAACCCTTTGGTCATCCATGCAGGAATTTTATTTGGATCATCCATAACCATTTCTTTGAAGTTCTTTGAGTTTTTTGTGTGTGCTGTATTTAAATAATATAAACAAAATGTTATTTTTTTATCTATTCCTGGAGATTTCCATTGTGTGCTTTTTTACAGTGCACATTTAACATCTTCTTCTGTGATTCCCTTATGTCTGTTCTTTTATTTTTTATTCGTTCTAATTTGCAATCCAATCTGCCTCTTTCCTTCTGTTCTTTGTGGCAAATTTTTATAACTTCTTCCATTTTATGTCACTTCAATTCTTTTGTTTACCTTTTCCTGTAAAATTTCTTTTTGCATCGGTTTGAAAGATCTTGTTCTGTCTATAGAATCTTGATCTTTTCTCAGGATGCCTTATTCTTTGAGCCTTTTTATTGTATTGTTTGCTTTATTTTTCTTTATTTGATAGGACTTCATTTTCATTCCTGATATTGTATTTTCTTTCGACTCTTCTGCCTTTTCTAGTTCTTACAAGTTCATCGAGTAAATAATTCACTTCTAAGGTGTTCAATTTCTTTTTCTATTTTTCTTTTTTTTAAAGGTGGATCTTCATGTCTGTGAGACTGCCTTTTTTTATCAGTTTATTTGTTGCTGATTATGATTATTCCTTCATTGTTTATATGAGTGTCTTCTTCATCCAGAATCAATTTGAGTGCTGCATTATAGAGCTTAATAGTTTTGAGGTTATGCTTTTGTTGGTTGTAATTTTGGGAGTTGTTCTCGTTCCTCCATTGCAATATTCTGTATCTGACTTATATGGGTCATTCTTGATTTCATCCTTGGCTTTGTATATTAATCTTGTTTTCTGTGAAATAATTCTGTTCGATGAATTTTGAACTCGTTTTATTACAAATTTAAATCATACCTTTCCAACATTTCTAAGATCATACCTTTCCAACATTTCTATTATTATTATTATTATTATTATTATTATTAGAATTATTGTTATTATTATTTTTTTCATCAGTTTCTTGATGTTAAAAAGAAATTCATCAAGTAAGAAGCCTTACTTTTTTCTTACCCAAGTACTTTCAATCTCCTCCAAGATCATCCTCTGGGATGAGTTACAATTTAATCAAATTGTACAATCAGTAAGAATCTAATGTGGTAATATTTTCCTTTCCCGTCCTGAGGGTGTATTGTTGTTTTTAAACCCTTAAAAAAAAATTGTTTATTTTCCAGTAAAACCCCATCACCTGAAGGTGCACATATAGTGCTGAAACATGATTGCATTTGTGTAGTGATTATATAACATGTTTTTGTTATAATTTCAAATATATATATATATATATATAATAGATAGGGTTTGGAATTTTCAGGCACACCTGTGTCCTTCATCAAATGTCCTAGGAACAAACAGAGAAATAAGAATTACTAACCAATGGATGTTTTTGTAGATAGGGTATTTTCCAGGGAGAAATTGTATTATTAGCAAAATCTACAAGAGGAATATAACATATTCTGATAGTCACATAAGGTGTGAAAATGACATTCACTATGCAATGTTGATTCCTATATTCAAACGAATATATATATATATATATATAGAGAGAGAGAGAGAGAGGGTGTATTGGGGTAGCTGATCATTATTCAAACATATATCGTTCAAAATAACAGACAATGAATGTCCGTTATGTTTGATCATGAACCGTTCTAAACTTCATATAATTGCTTTAATTTTGGGTCAAAATAAAGACAAAAACTGTGCAACATAGTATACATTCGTTGTCTGTTATATATATATATATATATATATATACAGTGTAACCCGGATATAAGAGACCCTGATATAAGAGAAACTCGAATATAAGAGAGATTTTCTCTGGTCCCAAATTAGAGCCTGTGTTAATGTATATAAAATAGACCAAACCCAGATATAAGAGAAACCCGGATATAAGAGACTTCTTCTCCGGTCCCGACAACTCTTTTATATCTGTGTTACACTGTATTTATATATATGAGAGAGGAGGGGAAATAAAAATGTTGAATTTTGAATGCTGTTTTTCTAGGTACACAAACCCACAGCTAATATGGAACTATGGTTTGATACAATCTTGTGTGTTACCATTTAAAAAATAATTGTATTAAATGTGTATAGAAAGAGAGGAATAAAGATGAGGATTTTGAATGCTGATTTTCAAGGAAAATCTACTTCTCATTTTGGTGATTGAAGCAACATAATTTTCCTTCAAACAATTTGCTTATTTGGTTTTGCATCATAAACCTAACCTAATTAGTAAATAGTCAATAAAAAGCACAAAGAACCTACTTAGTGGCTAAGGTAGTTGTATATCTGATGCTAGAGTTCACTGTAGAATCTGTTGATTTTCTAGACAAACCTCACACCGTAAAAGATTGCTGCAATACAGTCTTCTTCCCACACATTTTTCTAATTTGGCTAAGCTTTGTAAATATCAAGAATATTCAGCCACTATGTGACCTTCTTTCCATGACAGGTTGACCTTTAATAATGAATAACAAACACATTGGAGTAGGGACAGCCTTTCCTACTTGGGAAAGGTAAGCAATTGCTTCCACACTCAAGAACAAGCAATGTGAAGAAAATGGTAAATTGGCTTACTTCAGTCAGTAGATTGTAAAACACCTCCAAGGAATTATTAACATTGTTGGCTTTTTATCAGCACTCATCACTTGAGCTGGGTGCCACTAATGGCTTGTTAACATTGTTGATCAAGACTTTTTCCTGTCATGTCCCTGAAGGCATTAAGCTGTTAAGGAACTCCCAATAACATATAAAGATAATTTATAAAACATTTGTTGGGGATTCTCCAATAACTCATTGATCCTGTTTATCATGAGCAGTTTAATTTTATGATCTTTTCAAAACAATAAATAAATTGTGAGACTGCACCAGTTGAGATCATCTTAAGCTAAAGCAAATGATGGCTTAATCTTGTTTATTTTCTATCAGGAATTAACATTCAAAATTACACTGAGTAATTAAATAAAGATGAACTGTGAATGAAAATTTAGAATTTCACTAGTGTTGAGTGAATGGTCAAGTGCAAAAATACTCAACATGTAAATTGTATTCTTCTCTTTGGGTGTGTGCGTGTATATATAATAATAGTAATAATAATAGACTGTCCTGTTGTTTTCGACATAAGAGGGTCAAGCATCTCAGTTCCTAGAAACTGACAACCAGACAACCTTCATATATGATTTGATTATAGTGGTGAAGGCTTTGTGCAGAACCAACCACACTTTTTAAAGGGCCAAATACAGGGACCTGGTGCACTATGTGCCACAAGGTCCCCAAACGACCCTTCGCAAGTTTTGAATTCAGAGTTGTCCTTCTCCTACATCAGTTGCCATCCAAGGCTATAGAACCCAGTCTGTCCTGCTATTTACCCATAGCTGGGGGGAGAAGAAGAGGATTCATACATTTCCCAAGGGTATTAGCAAGTAAGTGAATATAATGGATTCAAATGAAATATATGTGTGTGTGTGTATATATATGTATATATATATTAATAAGTATATATATATATATATATATATGTATATATATATATATATACTTATTAATCTGGCAGATTTTATTACTTAAATGTTATCTTTTTAGTGGATACTTATATTTGAGTAGACCCTACATTAAATTATTAAACAGTAGATAAAAATAAAATTAATATACTGTTTAATAAATAAATGGAGTTTATACTCAAATACATGTAACCAATAAAAGAATTAACATCTAGGTAATCTATCTGATTAATAAATATAAAAAAAAAATCAATCCCTTTCTTAGAAATTGCTTTGTTTACATTAGAATATGAAACTGAGCAGATATGTCTAGTTTGAGAGTCAGAGAAAGAGCTGTGTTTAAAGGCACTATTCATCTTTGCTTGAACATCAACATGCTTCATGGCCAAAAGGTCTAAAGCATGTCAGATCTAAAGATGGTTTCCCCTAGGGGAATGCAGGTTCAAATTCTGTCAGAGAGCACATTTTTTTTAAGCTTTTGATGAAAAAAAAATAAGCAGTCGGCAAAAAACAAAATAAATATACTGCTTACTAAATAAAATGAGCATCTACTCAAATATGAGTATCCACCCCCACCAAAAAAATAAGTAATAATATATATATGAATATATGATGATCCACATAGGTGAAACCTAGGTAGGTTTGCCTGGCTCTTTAGGTTCATAGTTAGATTTGCTCTACTTACTATATTGAGTACTTTGCTTAGTTATTTTTGCTTTACTCGACTTGGAGGTTTTTTCTTTGGACTCTGAACTTGGATTCTGGACGATTGTTTTTGCCTCAATTTCATGTTCTTAGTTCTTTCTTTTTTTTTATTCCTTATTTTTCCTTGGGTATTGGTTTGTTCATTTACAAGCCAAAATGCCTAAGGTTTTTCCAGATGTGTATAATTACTTATACTTATATTATTATTATTTATATATATATATATATATATATATGTATGTATGTATATTGACATATGAAATGAGAACGAATAATAATAAATCTTGTTTGTTGGTTGATTGATGTTAATTTAGACTGCATCACATCTAAAAACATATTCCTGTCCACCTTCACAATACAGGAAAATACTTGGTGACAACGCCAATATACTACACAACCAGAATAATAAACAAAAAACTTCAAATTCTGGAAGCCTTCTATATCAAAATCAACCAACCGACAACTGGAAAGGATCAGTTTGAAAAGAATTGACACAAAACATGTTTAAATGAAGATATGTTGGCTATATATATATATATATATATATATATATATATATATATATATATATATATATATAAACATGAAACATTAAAACATGAAACAGCCTGATGCCGTTGGTGTTTGTTCTCAATGTCTACTTTAAATTAACATATGCTTCATCCTTGATATAGCGCACTATAAATACAGCATACCATAAAACTATTTTTCTTATATATATATATATGTGTGTGAAGAAAACATTGTGCTAATGTCGAAAGTACTCAGAAATAAAATGGATATAATTCAACATAGTATTTTTTCTTCCTTTAATAAGGATAAAGAAACTCGTCTGTAAATAATTCCATTAAGAATAAGTAGACAAAACCTGTCTAATTTATTTAATGATATATACTTATATATGAAAGAAAAATACAGAAAAAACAAACAAAAATCTGAATATGCAATTATGTAGTATAAATGTTTATATAAAGTCGACGTCGGACGTTTCGGTCTATTTAAGACCATCTTCATGGACATTTTCATTTAAACATAATTAACATTAGAACTTATAAAAATTTAACACAAAACACGATGGACATAAGAGCCCAACTAATCCAAACAGATAACTGAAATTTTATACAGATCAGCGTTCCGTTTAAATATGATCACGTAGTCGTCACGTGGGCGATGTTGTTAAAACGTATTCGAAGATGATTTCCAAAAATATTAAAAAGTCGATTGAAAAATTTTGGTATAAACAGTTCAAGAAATCTCTTCCGTTGATGTCGGAATACGTAGTGATCCATAGGTTCTTATATCTTCAACAAGCTTGAAGTCCTTGAGATTTCTTGAACTGTTTATACAAAATTTTTCAATCAACTTTTTAATATTTTAATTTTTGGAAATCATCTTCGAATACTGTCGGATCTATATCCATATATTTGCTTACATACTTATATATATATATATATATATATATATATATATATAAAATTCCAAATGAAATGAGAACAAATCAAATATAAATTCAAATGCTCATAACATTAATTTAAAATAGATCCCAATACAATCAAATAGTAGAGCAATATTCTTTATTATATTACATTAGAACATGTATAAAACTGCAACATAAATGTACTCATGTTTTACTGTAATCACATTGAAACATGAGTGCATTTATGTGCATTGATCCTACATGTTCGAATGTAATATCCTATAATAAAGTACATACATATATATATATATATATATATATATATATATATATATATATATATATATATATACATACAATTATAAGATGACAATTTGAAATTGTCAAAAGTACTTGGCATGTGTCTTCCATCTGATAACAACTCAAATATAAGGATCTTATTATTCAATGAACTGATACTAAGTTAATATTTCATTAAGTCTTGTTAATGAAGTGATTTCACCATTAATCACATTAACATTTCTGTTTAATTCTTTGTATAAATTGTTTCTTCATGATATAATATATAAGCTGCACACTCATATATATATATATATATATATATATATATATATATATATATATATATACATACAAATATAGGTAACTATACTCGTTTCGAAAAACCTTCAAATTTTTGATTTGCCAATAATCAAATCAATCTTGAGGGAAAAAAAGGTTTTAAAAAAAGAAAGAGCTAGAAACATGAAAGTCTGTTGAAAAAAATTGCACAGATACAGGTTTGAAGCCCAAAGAAAAAACCCTGACACGAGTAAACAACTAACAAAAGCGCTCAATACAACCATAGAGCAGACCTAGATAAAACTAGTGAGCCAGACATACCTACCCAGGTTTCACCTAAGCGGATCATCAGGGAAAGCATCTTTGGAAAGTAACTTAAAACTATACCATGGGTTGACCCAAGCCTTGTAAGTGAAAGTGGGTAGACGGAACTCTTGTAAGTCATCGATAGTTGTGCTAACACAAAGCCACAAATCATCATGGCCAAAGACTTGAGCATGTTGGCCTTGTTCAAACTGTTGATCATGCTAGATAACATGCTCTTTCCCAGAAACTGTAACTAAGGTCTGCTCAGCATAGTTGCAGTATAAACCACAGGTGGACTCTGTGGGTGTTGAGCAAGCACAAAATGTGCCTGAGCGAGCGTCTGCAATAAGGACTGGATAGCCGTCTTAATAGACGGGTATCCTTGAATATGAATGGCATTTCTATTATATATATATATATCCGAATAAAGAGAAAGAACAGATAGATAAAGAATCCACTATTTTTTAGCATTTACTTTTTTAAAAAAGGTGCTCGGTACAACATGGAGCAAAATATTGTAATAATATTTTTATTTTAAAATATTTTACATTGCTACATAAAAATTTCTATGTTTTGGAATTAAAATTGTTCCATTATCAGGTGAAGAATAAAAGTGTGAGTAGCAAGAAAGTAATATTGACTATTACTTCCTTGCTACTCACACTTTTATTCTCAGTATCCTTCTGTAGAGTGATATTTCTCTTGCCTCAAGTTTTTTCTGTATCTGTGAGGAAGTTGTTCAGCATTCACTGCCATAGAAAAAGACTGACATAATGTAGTCTTTTTGCTTTTTTTAATAAAATTTTCCTGTTTCTTAATACTTTGCTTAGCTTTGAGAAAGCAACTTTTGCTATTCCAGTCTGTTTATACTATATTTATTTGATATATTTTATATTTCTTTTTTCAGTTCCTACACTGTTAACAAAGGGAATAATCCGGCAGGTGTTTCCACTTCACAACAGCGATAATTTGATGGAACTACGTAAAGGATGGGTGAATGCATTTTTTAGCCCACAGCCATTGAGTAAGTAATTTTTTTTATTATTTATTCACCCAAGAGCCACTCAAGGTAGAGGACTACTAAATGAGGTTGTTGTAGGAGGTAGTGGGAAATCCAGATTATGGGATATAAGAAAGATGACAATTGACCTTAGAAGAGGTTGAGACTATGGTGACTGGGGAAGCATTCTCTAGGGAGTCTCTTCCTCAAAGTAGTGATTTTTGGAAAGAGGCTGTCCAAATGGAACTTCCTCCTTACTTATGGAATATGAAGGTTTGAACTGGTGGAACTAATACACACACACACACACACACACACACACATGTATACAGCTGTGCATACACATGCACTGACATACCCATTAAATATATATACATATGCCTAAACATATACTCACTCACACATGCATTCACATATACTGAATTACAGATGAAAGTCAACTCCTCACAACCCAGTTTGGCTTTAGTTCTGGAAATGGATGCTATGATGGTATATATGTCATCAAACAATTACAAGAAATTGCTTACATCTCTAATAGGAAACTGCATATTTGCTTTGTGGACCATCAATAAAGAATTCTTCTCATTCCAAGTTCTGAACACATTGAATGCATTGACCTAATAGAAGAACTGTATCAAACTACAAAATTTTACTTGTCTAAAAAGGACCCGAATATAGAAACCTTTCAAACATCATCAGGAGTATGGGAAAGACGAAATGAGAACCCCATTCTATTTAATATTTTCCAAGAAGATGCCTTGTGTATTTACAAAGATTTGAGGAGATGGGCTATGACCATTTAAACATACTGCATCCCAAGTAAGTCAGAATACAACAATCCTGCTTTCCCTCTCGAGGCCAATGTACTGATGAGGCATGGGGCCTATGCTGGTGACATAGGTATTCATATTTGGGATAAGAATGATCTTGAACAGAAAATCAGCATCCTCTAAAAAGTATTCCAAGAAATAGAACTCAAGATAAACCTTTCTAAAACAAAAAACTATAATCTGGAATTGGAATAAAAGCAGTGATGGCACCTACCCTGATCAATCATAAAAATTCAGGATGAGCAATTAGTAAATACTAAACACTTCAGATACCTCTGCGTATGGATCAGCTATAACAAATTTAGTATAAAAGAAGAAATTGAACACTGAATAGACTGAGTGACCAGAGGTAGTTTCACACAACACCTCAAATGGCTACAAAGCCAAAACATTAACCTGAAAACTCAAGTTATGGTCTTAAATAGCCTTGTCAGATTGAGACATTTATATCAATGCCATGCATGATGCCAAACATGTTGAGAAATATCTAAACTGGCAGATCTATACAACCATTTCCAAAGCTCAATGGTTAAAAAAAGGCTTTGAGCAAGTGAAGCCTGAGGGTCTTGTCAAAGATAATCCTTCTTTGATAATTGTGGACTGGGGCTACAGAATCACAAAGAACTGTAAACAAATAACAGAAACCACATGACTTGAGGACTACCAACAGCAGCAACAACTAAAATGGATAGCACATGGAACTTAACGAAAAATAATATGTTGACATTCCACACCACTTCAAACAGAAAGTTAGGAAGGAAACTGCCATCAATACTGGAAAGAGCAATAAACCTGTTTTCCTGAAGAAGTCTTTTAAGTGAAAAATTTTATAAATTTCAGCTGAAAGCAGTATTGGCTGCTCAATCAATGAATGCTAAATCCTTGTAGGGAACTGGATATAATATTACCATTACCATATATACATCTTTTATAAATACTCACTAACATATAAGTATGTAGATATACATAAAGACATTGTTGTATTGGACTGTTTTTTTCTATTTCTTGATATATTTGTTGTGTACATTCAAGAAATCAAAAGAAAACGGTTGAATCCATCAACACAACAAAGAAAAACAATTTTTCTACATGTGAAAATATTCTCTTCAAGCATAATTGACGTAATTTTTCATTTGACCATACAGTAGCGTTTCTAAATTCTTCTAGTTGATAACGACATTTTGTTTGTTGTTTATAGATACACTGTTAGTAAATTGTTATGAATGAATGGGTCATGAGTCGGATTAACTAGGACTAGGATAGTTAATGAAGACTGTCCCCTCCCCCTCTTAGCCTTGTGCCCCAATTCTGTAATTGTTCTGAATAAATACCATCTGTTTCAATAAATTCATTTTGTTTTTGCATTGAAAATGTCCACATTGGACAAAACACGCCGGCTAATAATACAGTTTTCCTATTGTCTTTTTTCCTTTATACATGTATTATGTACGCCATGTTGCATTAAATCATTGACAGAACATGGCATACATAAGTTTAAGGAGGGAAAAAAATTGCTAGCAACAGGAAGGAGGAAGAGAGAGAGAGAAAAGATGTAGAATGGAATTCATAAACGGCTGAGAATTATGTCATTTATTGTTGAGTAGTGAGCACATATTAAACGATAATACAAGGAAGTGTACGTTAGATGATAATGTAACATCCATCCTTTTGTAAATAGTTACAATATATGAAAAATGGAGAACGATGCTTAATGAATATTATATCATTCAATAAAAATATATATAAAGACTTTCTACAGTTTATGCAAGAAGTATTTGTGATGACAAAAGTATGCAGGTGTAGGCTTTAAGAAAGCTTTATTCAACTGAAAATAGAAGATTCACATATAGTGTCCTTTTATAATCCCAGTAAACAGAAATAGCTCTCTCTCAAAGAGGAGAGTAACAAAACAAGGGGAGAACACGCTTGATTATTCTTAACAGTATTATAAACAAACATCCAAATACAAAAACAATCTGACGGATTACTTTCTTTTGTGCATGCCAAAGAATTTAAATGGTTCATTAAATGGCAGCTTAGACTTAAGTGGAAAATTCCAGAAATAAAAAAGTAATGAGAATATTGTTTGTTTTTGTTTTTTTATTAATTTTCTGATTTTTAGCTCTTCAGATGCTGAAGTGTTAAGTTGCATTCTAGAATAGTATCATTTGCATCAGAAATGTAAAAATAATGTTTATCGCAACTGATGTGAAGAAGATGCAAAGAAAAATCAGATGCAAGTAATAATTATAAAAATAATTTATCACAAAGAAGTGAAAAAAATACAATTACATGTGGTTTTCTATAACAAAGAATGTAACTTACAAATTATACAGTAATAAGAATGGGTTAGAAGTAGTAACAAAGTAATATTAATATAACGAAGAGTGTGATGGGATAACAAACAACAATAATAATATAGAATAAAACTAGTAATAAAATAATAGTAATAATGAAGAGTGTATAGAGCCAGAGTGTTGGAATAAAAAGCAATAATAACAATATAGAATAAAACTAGTAATAAAATAATAGTAATAATGAAGAGTGTATAGAGCCAGAGTGTTGGCATAAAAAGCAACAATAATAAAATGGAATAAATCTAGTAATGAAATAATAGTGATAATGAAGAGTGTATTGATAAAATAGTCACAATATTGTTAAACACTCTCCCATTTCTTTTTCTTTTCTGGAAATTATACACGTTTGAAAGTGCTGCAGAATAATGGAAGGGTTATGTCAATTTTAACTGAATTGATTATTATTATTATTATTACTAACCGTTCTTATGAACTTTTTCCCTTTTATGATCGGATACATGAATACTTTGGCGTAACGATTGCAATGTCTTTTCACTTATATCAAATCTATATTTCCTACTGAGACAATAGTAGGCATTTAGACACACCTTATCATAGTACCACTTATTATTACTGTTCTACTAATTATAACATGTATTATTATTACTACACTTTAATTATTATAATCATAATATTAATATTAATATTTAATATATTTAATTATTATAATTATTATTATTATTATTCAACTTTATTTATTATTAATACACTTCTATAAGAATGTAATTTCTAGAAAAGATAATATTTTGGCAGTACATCTGTCTTTTTTAAGTTAAATATAAAAAAACAATAATGCGTATATATTTTTTTATATATAACTTGTAAAAGACCGACTTATCAAAATATTGTTACACTGTCTCTTTTCTTTTCTGGAAATCATTTTCTTCTGGAAGTGCTGCAAAATATTGGAAGGCTTATGTCAATTTTAACTGATTTGATTATTATAATTATTACTAACTATTCTTATGAACTCTTTTGCTTTTAGATCGGATATATGAATACTTTGGTGTGAAGATTGCAATGTATTTTGCCTACCTTGGACATTACACGACTGCGCTATGCATTCCAGCACTGATTGGTTTCATCATGTGGCTTGTTGAGGGATATGATCAGGTAAGAGAACTTTATGTATTCTAGCACTAAAAATCATCAACAGTATTATCCTTGCTATTAGTACAAATCTTGATTACTATTATCCTACCATAGTCACAGTCATTACAAACTAAGTTGAAACAAAACATTGGTCAAAAAAATGGTTGATTCCTTTATTATAATATTTCATCCAATCATTTCTGTTTTTATGCTAACACTATCAAAAAGAGACCTTAACACACAGTCCTGGGATTCTCTTAGACTTTGGTGTTCTTATTATATGCTCTTCCATTCAGATCAGAATGCTCATCATGGTTGTTAAACTCATGAGTTTTCAGTTGTATCCTCTGGTATTTTTAAAGTGTCTGTCCATTTAGTCTGTCATATTTTAGTAAGCTTCTTGAAATTTTGAAAAAACACTTTATTCAATTAGATAGTAGAATTTTCTCATTCTATTTTCTGGGGAGATAACTTGTATCAGTTTGAACTCATCAGTCATCTTTGCATCATTTGTCCATTTCTTCCACTGAAGTTGTGACTTTTCAGCACTACCAAGCAAAAGGCTTGAACTTACAGCTTCCACAGGGGCTAGTATGTTTTAGCCATGTATCTTATGCTCAAGAAACATGTGGCCCAGTGGTTAAAGCATCTCAGCTGAAGATACTGGTCTAAATAATGTGTAGAGTGACATCTAAAGACCACTGGATGCAACATGAAACTGAGGAATGCTGAAGAACATATCAGCTGAAACGTTAGGATAAAAACAAGATGAAAATATCGGTTTGAAATGTGTATAATATCAATATATCAGTCAAAATAATTTGTTAAATCTATAAAAATGAAGTCATTTGTAAAATACATACTGTATTTGATTGATATAAGACACTTCCACCTTTATAGTTAATATTACACTCTAGCACTGGTTGTCTATATTGGGTGGGTAAAGATTAGCCTAGTAGACACCCACAACTTTGCATATAGGACCCCACACATATTTTTTTTTACATATTGAGTTTAAAGAGACTGTTTTATATGTCATTAGAATAAAGAAAATATTTCATCTCAGGAGTTCAGGAGATTAAATAATCAGGGTCAGATCTTGAGCACTATAAATGACAGGAAATTGTGGAGAGCCATGATTGCCCATGTCCTGAAGGGACATGGCACATAGAAGAAGAAGAATGAGCTTGAGTAAATGGATGGTAGAACAATGTTTAGGAGAGATAACAAAAAGACAACATTTATTAAGAGCTATAAATGGCAGGAAATTGTGGAGAGCCATAATTGTCTATGACCTGAAGGGACACAGCACATAAAGAACCTTTTTATTTCAGCTTTACTTGGTTGATTCATAATTCATGGCAGTTAAATATGTAATTATTATCCAAACACCCAAATGTGTGTGTATGTGTGTGTGTCCAAGTGTTTCCAATCTCATTTTTAACAATTTGAAATTGAAGTACACAATTGAAAACAGTTTTTTTTCATGTGTGCAAATGGTTTCAGCAAAAGAATGATTTGCATCTGTTTTCAGTGTCTAATTAAAAAAAAAAATGTGAATTTTTTTAACTCATTTATATAGGAGGATATTTGTATGTTTCTGTAATGTTATTTCCATACAAAGACATTTATATACAAAGCTTTTTTCCTTTTAAATTTGGAAAAATAATTGTAATCTCCTGTTACTTTATCAGAAAGACAAACCTGAACTTTTACAAAATTTGGATGAGTCTATGGTAAGTAATTTGATAAAAGCAAATTTCTTTTGGTGGAAGTAGAAGTTTACTAACTTTTGTTTGCAATTTGGTGGAGGTATGCTTTTTAGCTATTACAAATTTAATCAATCAATCAATATCACCAATCAATGATATTTCACTTTTATCAATAATTTTTAAAAACAAAAATTTTGATTACCAATGGGTTCAACTCTAAGTGGGATTTTAGCATGCATCTTTTTAGAATTTCTGGAATCTGGTCCTTTCCAAAATATTTTACCTAAACAATCTACATATTTATGATATATTGATGATGGTCTATTAATATATTCCTGCTAAACCACTTTACCTGACCTTGTTGATTAATTAAATAAATTCAAACACACAATAAAATTTACTTACAAAACAAAAGCAAGTAATAATTTATCTTTCTTAAACATCATGTTACACCATAATGACAAAAGCCTAAATTTAAGTGGCCATCACAAATCAGCTCATAAAAAGGATCTCATAAACTTCTATTCTCACCATAACAACAAAATAAAATCCAGAATAATCATCAGATTCTATTTAAGAGCATCCAGAATTTGCAACCCTCAATATTTACATTTAATTTAAATAAAAGATTATATGAACACAAAGAGGTAATTAAAGTCTCTGTCTTCTTCTTATAATGCTCTGTAGTCTACACTGAGCTCTCCCTGGATTTATATCCCTTCCAGTCACAAACTGGTAAGATGCATAATTATATATATATATATATATATATATATATATATATATGAGGAGAAGGAGAAAATTGCAAAGCAAAACTTGTTGCCTTCAATTGGTACAGCTGATGATAACCTCCAGGGGAGCAACACATAGCACCTTTTTGGTTTCATGTTTTTCACAGACATAATGAAGAATGATTCTATTGAATCAACTGCTAAATCTACTGCTAGAAAAGTTGGTTCACTATGTTTTGCAAGACAATTTTGCTCACATTTATAAGTATATCCCCCATTTATCCGTGCATTGAATATTTTGCCTCCCCATCTGGTCTGGTGCTTCTACTATATATCTAGAGATTCTTGAAAAAATTCAAAAAAAATCTACAACATTATCAGTCCTGATCTGTGGAGCTCTCTTCCAATGATCTTCAAACATTTAAATGCAGTGTCTGTCATCATCATCTGTTTCCTTGAACCCTGTTCTTTTATTGTCCTCTCTGTTTCTCTCAAGATAAGTAACCACTTGGATCTTTATGGCTTTATTCCCTTGCTTGGAATTAAATGCTTAAAAAGAAAAAATGTCCCTCTGTTGATTTCTCTATCTTTCTCACACACACACAAACATTTTTCAAAAGAATTTTTATAACAGCAAACATAATAGTGTTTACTATAATAATATTTGGAGTAATAATAAAAATATTTAATAATATTTAGTAATAATAAATGATATAAATGAAATAAAAACAAAAAGGAAAACTTAGCTGAAGCGTTTCAGCCTCTGATAGACTTTATCAAGGCAAATGTAAGGATTTTATTTTGCAATATGTATTTAGAAACCGAAGTAAAAATAGTGTTAGGTTTTAAAAATTTTTTAATTTAAGAATGCTCGTAAATATTCATCTGAGGACAACAGACATCGGTAAATAATAGTTTTATTTATATCTGAATTATTGCACATACACATATATATAAATTTATTATGCAGTGTTATATTAGAACATGTACATCTTGTTTCAACATTAAAAAAATATTTAACGTTTCATCAGGTGGGAAATCATGATCACATCTGATGAAACGTTAAAAATATTTTTTAACATTGAAACAAGATGTACAGTTTTGTAGTGGGTATGTACATGTTCTAATGTAACAGTGCATAATAAATATTTATTGCTCTATTTTTGTATTGAGCCTGTTTTAAATTAATGTTTTGAAAGCAGAAATCTTACTCTTCGTTTTTTTCATTTGGAGATATATATATATATAAATATATCGGTAAATGAGATATAAATTTTTATATATCATTTCGCTATATATTTTTATATGCTATTCTGCTAATATATATATATATATATATATGAAGAAATATAGTTTTAAGGGATAAAGTGCTCAATATCAGAGATAGAGCATATGTAAATATATATATAAAAATGAATATTGAAGTCAACACTCAAAGGCGATAGGCTGTTTCATGCTAGATGCAATCGTCAGGCCCCCTGATGATTGCGTCTAGCATGAAACAGCTTGTCGCTTCTGAGTGTTGACTTCAATGTTCACTTTTATATATATATATATATATATATATATATATATATATGAATACAAAGGAACCTTATAAATAACAAATTAATAAATGCACCAGTCGCACACAGAAATAAATTTGACCTCAAATTTGATCTGAAAAATGTAACACTCAGCAAAAGAGAAAGTCATTTACTCAGTGGGAAAATCCTTGAGAGTGCTACTATGAAATATCAAAATATCAATCTACACCCCAGTTTTTTTCCCAATCTCACCTTTCCTGAATATTTACTCCTTTCCAAAGCCAACATACACAACAACAAATATGTTGAAAAAGCAAAAGAAAACGGTTAAATCCATCACTTTGTCCTTTGAAGATGTACAATAGAAATGTCCATCTGGCACCATAACAATCTAATCACAATACAAAAAATATTCATCTAAAAAAAAACAGAAAAATTCTTGAATATTACAAGCTCACTTTCGTTTTTACCAGACATTGAATTACGACACTTTGTGCTCTCCACATGTTTTGACTGACCTCTTGACCTTTCAACCACTTGATGAACATTCATGAATGTTCACAAATTTACAAGCTTTGATAAATCAATGACATCCTCGCCTCCTTGTATATAAACACATGCAGCAAAATAAATCCTATATTACCTTGATAAAGTCCCTCAGAGGACGAAACACTTCAACTAAGTATAGGTTTTCCTCTTGTCTCTTTTTATTCATTTTGTCTCTTCTACAGACATACTCCAACTTATAATATATATATATATATATATATATATATATTGTGCATTTAGGCAGCAACCCTTCTTTCATGCAAGTTTCATTAAATATGACAGACAAGGTGCTTTGATTAAGTTTTTTATCTATTTTTTAATGTGATCTTATGATTTTTTTTCTTTTCAGTAGATAAATTATATAAAAACTGTCTAAATGTTGTTTTTGTTTCCAAGCGCTTTCGGCTATACATGGACACAATATGTTGACTATATTTTTAAAATGAAATGTTATATAAATATATACATACATACAGTCTATTTCTAGTTAACAGTTAATATGTATCAACCTTGAAAATGGCTAAATGTATTGCCGAAAGTGCTTGGAAAAAAAACATTTGGACAGTTTTTATATAATTTATCTGCTGAAAAGAAAAAAAATTATAAGATCACATAAAAAAAAACTTTATCAAAGTACCTTTTCTGTCATATTTAATGAAACTTGCATATATATATATATATATATATATATATATATATATATATATATATAAACAACAACATTTCTCTTATCATCCTGGCTAAGACATTACACTACATCCGTGTCCTGGGTAAGACATTAAACTACGTCCAGCAGCAAGGCTTTGATCAGGAGGTTTTGAGGTAAATGGAACCACCTCTTAATTGCTGGTTTTCCCAGGTACACTCTGACCCAGGGTGGTAGCACCTGTTAGGGTCCCAGCTATGGGAAAATAGTTAATTATTACTAGCAATACTTTTTTCAAAAAAGATTATTACCAGCAATACAATTTTGAAGGAAATATATTACCAGAAACAGATTTTTGACAAAACAAAATATTACCAGCAATAAAATTTTTTGTCATTGAGTTTGATAATCCATAAAACAAAATAAACCAAACCAATCTAAACCAAAGAATACATATTCTATTCATATGAATCTATTCTGAAAATGTCGGCATTAAATAACCCATTGAGGTTGATAAGCCGTAAAACAAAATAAACCAAACCAAACCAACATTTCTTTTAAACATGTTTAGCTGAATATAACAGACAAGGAAAATTTAATTCATTTTTATTTAGTTTTCCCAGCATAATTGCATTTTTTTCATTTGATGGAAGTAATATCTATTGTTCTAAGTGCTTTCAGCCACTTTCGGAATTTGTTGCTTAAGTGTTGTTAATTTCTTTTCATGTTTGTCTGTTTAAAGTGTTGGATTAAGGTGTGTGTGTGAGTATATATAAATATATATATATATATATTTTACCAGTACCACCCCAAGGAAAGCAGTACAGCCACTAGCACACAAGGGGTTACAGGGTGTGGAGTAATTAGGAACAGAAACATTAATAATGAGGAGAAAGAGAAAAGAGCAATCAGGAGGAAAATAGATAGCGATTGACATTGTATTTAAATTTTTGCAGATTAAAGTTGGCTGGAAAGCAAAAATCACACATTTATTACAAAAACCAAATGCATATTAATTGCAAACAAGATGAATCTTCTCTAAGACATATTATAAAGAAATATACTACTCCAATTCATCCGAATAAAAAAAATCAAATTAATTATCTATTATAAAAAATTTAAGACAGCTAACCTTATCTTTAAAAATAACAATACACCAACTAAGTCAAAATTACAAAGAACGAATATTATCTATGAGTTCAAATGCCCCTTAAGGAATTGTGTACTTGATCAAACTGGACTCATAAATAATTATATCGGTTACACAACCACATGCTTATCCAGACGTCTTACGTTACACCTATCTGATCACAGCTCTATCAGAACGCATTTAAACACACACACAGATTTACCCGACACCATTAGGAACATACTAGCAGAAAACACAAATATATTAACTGCATCCACTTGCAAAAAAAGACTAAAAATAATGGAAGCTTTAATAATAAAAAAGAAAAAGCCAACTCTTAATAATATTAACTACGAACAAAGTCACAATGTGCTAACCGTATTCGGAAATTAAAAACATCGCTACCACACACTAATACATACACAGAACGAACACACTCAGTT